AGCTGGCCTGGAAAAGGGGCAACCAGGACAGAATCCGGTGCCCCGACCGGGACTAGTACCCGGGGTGCTGGCACTGCAAGGCGGAGGATTAGCCTAGTGAGCCGCGGCGCCAGCCTCAATCTCCTCTTAACTTTCCTTTTTAGCAACTTATCAATTCAGCCACATTAAAAAATTAAATTTGGCTAGGCTGAATCATACTATTGTTATTTCCCTTATAATAATAACCCTTTTACTCTCCACCTCCACTAAAAGGAAGTAGCTGAAGTCACAGACTTAGAACATTGGAGAAGTACCAAAACCACATTTCTGACATTTAGTTTATGACTGAGAAGAGTTATTTGGTATTTGACATCCGTTACTCAACCACATTTGCATGGTAGTGGGTGAAAGCAGTTCAGAGCAGATTTAGCTGCAAATATTAAGTTCCACTGAACAAATCTGTATAGTGGAATTAGGGGAAGGGCTTGATGTAAAAAATGTAGATGCATATTGGATTGAGAAGGACAAATGACTCACTTCTTAGTTTACTATAGTTCCAGATTCAGCAAGGAAAATGGACAGGTGTAAGATTAGAAATTTTGAGAGTTTTTTGCAGTCAGAAACTTATTACAAACATACATATATATATACACACACATCCATATTTGACTTCCAAAAAGTATTCAAGGTTTTAAAAATGAATCCATGAGATTTTTACAGGTACACACAGCTTCAGAATTACCTGAAAATGTGCAGGGAACTTTCTGAAGCAGAATTCAAGGGACTGGAATTTGATTCAAAGTAAATTGGACAGTATAAAGGCTGCAAATCATGATGTAAGTCTCTATAAGAATAGGATGCTTTCCTTTTTTTTTTTTTAAAGTTTTAATCATTTCATTGCTACCTTCAAAGAGCATAGTTAGTCTAAGACCATTCACTTACATTAAATAAAGTGAATGAATTATTCTGAAAGAAGAGGGAAAGTTAAAAAAAGCCAGCTTTTTCACTAGAGCTTCATTTATAAAAGCACACAATTACTGGAAGTGCTCTTTGTCCTAGTGAATTCATTGCAAGACTCTTATGTCTATTTTATGACTGAGTAAAAGTGAAAAGTAGTGAGTACATACTTTTCTTTAACAATTTCTTTTTTTGGTAAAAGTTGAATACTTTTATGAATGGAAGTTGTGAGACTAGAGAGAGCCAAGTAGGATAGAGATCTGTTGTCCCCATGCCTGTCACTTGGTGCCTAATGTGAAAGCTCTAGCCTATTGCCTTTGAGGTGTGGAACATCTGTGAGCTCAAAGCTGTCAATCAGACTGGGTAAGCTGAGTTCACTGTTCTTGGTCTCCATTTCCTAGGGACTGACCTGGACGAGTTGGTAGGTCCCATCCCTTGTATAACCTTTCTCCTTGAGTGTGGGCACGCAGTTTATATATATGATGGGGACCACAGAACAAAGACCTGGGAGAAGTGGCTAGGGTCTGAGAGCAGTCCCTCTTGCCAGTAAGAAATCAACATGATGAGTCCTACAGCCATGAGGAAATGAATTCTGCCAAGAAGTTGAAGGTAGGTCTTTCTCCAGGGAGGGTGCAGTCAGACTTGTGAGACCCTGAGCAGAGAAGCCGGGCATACTGCACCAGACTTAACCCACAGAAACTCTGAGATAATACATTGGTGTTGTTTTAAGTTGCTAAGTTGGCAGAAGTTTGTTATACGGCAATAGAAAATGAGTAGACTCACATATGCACCTGACTTGTAAGGGTCATGGTATAATGATTTTGAGACTACTAGTGGCAAAATACCCTACTATATGCCCTTCTACAGAGTAGTCTTGAAGGTTGATGGTGCACATCAAAATACGCCATCCTGTAGCAGGTCAAGCCACTGCCTGCAGCACCAGCTTCCCATATGGGTGCCGGTTTGAGTCCCGGCTGCTCCACTTCTGATCCAGCTCTCTGCTATGGCCTGGGAAAGCAGTAGAAGATGGCCCAAGTCCTTGGGCCCCTGAACCCATGTGGAAGACCTGGAAGAAGCTCCTGGCTCCTAGTTTCGGATCGGCTCAGATTTGGCTGTTGCAGCCATTTGGAGAGTGGACCAGTGGATGAAAGACCTCCCTCTCTCTCTCTCTCTCTCTCTCTCTCTCTCTCTCTGCCTCTGCTTCTCTGTAACTCTTTAAATAAATAAGTAAATAAATAAATCTTTAAAGTGGCTGTTCTGTCACTTCTCCTCCTGTAGTATTATCTTCATTCTCTTTTCTTCCTATCCTGTCAAACTTACCCATTCAACAGTTGAATGTATAACTCAGACAGACAGCTCTGTGTAGTTATAACCAACAAGCACTTGTATGTGGGAGACTAGTTCAACTTGGCTCTGAAACTGATTAGTCATGTGCCCTTGGGAAAGAGAATTAATTCTTGAACCTTTGGCTTCCTCATCTGAAATAAACAAGATCTTATGTATTCCCAGAATTCTCGGGACAAAGGAGCATGGAAAAACTGCTCAAGTTTCAAGGACCACTCAAACTCTCCCTCTACAGACTTGAAAATGTGCATATTCCTTGTCCCTGTGGGTCAGGGAGATATTCCTCTGTATTGTTGTCTGCTAAACCTGTTGTCGTCAAATATATTAAGTTGTGCAAGAAATTAGTTTTACTCTTCATGGCAGGGGACATGAATGGGGCAGGGAAGGTATGAGAGACTTTTTGGACATCACAGGGAGGTAATTTTTAAAATGTTTATTCATTTTCTATTTGAAAGGCAGAGTGAGCAGAAGCGGGAGAAGGACAGGGAGAGGGAGAAGGAGAGATTGAGAGATTGCTTGATTCTCCATCCACGGGTTCACAGCCCCAATGCCTACAATAGCCCCAGCTGGGCCAGACCAAAGCCAGGAACCAGAAACTCCTCCATCTGGGTCTCCCATGTGGGTGACAGGGACCCAAGTACTTAAGCCATTATCTGCGACCTCCCAGGGTGTATTAACAGGAAGCTGGGTTGGAAGTGGAGGAACCACTTGAACTAGCACTCCGATATGGGATGTGGGAATCCACTGAACCACAACGCCTGCCCCAGGGAGGTAATTTTTATTCAATATAAGGACAACTCCAAGATGCAGATGTGACAGATCCAGTGTGATAATTTTATTAAAGTGCTAAGAAGGCAAGGATAGGAATACAAAGTAAGGCAAAGTTTGGAGAGTGCCTGCCACTTGGTTTGGAATGAGGTGGGCTATTCTGGGAAATAACTCAAGTGTGACAGTTCTAGGAGGCTCGGCTGGAAGGCTGTGGAGGTGGCAGCAGCAAAACCAGGCTGCACTCCATGGACGCCATCCCTGTGCGGTCTCCTGCCATTCACACTAATCAGCCCGTGGCAGGTTAACTTTCCCAAGTGGCAGACAGGGGCCCTGCCCTCAGCACCCTCATTCCTAACTGCCATCGACTTGGCTGGCACGGGTGGAAAGATTTCCAATCTGTCCCTTAGAGCCAGGAAGAGAACGGGAGCCCTAAGCTTCTGGCGGCTCCCATTTGGGTTTTGAAACCTGGAGCTGGTGGTGAACATTTAGGGAAGAGAGAGCTGAAGTCTCCTGGTAAAACCATCAACCCATTCCTAGCTGGAGATTTACCCAGTGTCCTTTTAAGGTTTGATTTCCTCGGTTACTTTTGAAGCTCCTACTATGTCATTCTCCGTAACTCAGGGGCACACTTGCTAGGAAATCATGTCCTTTGGGAGAGGAGACCAGGCCCCCCCAGGCCCAGGCTGCTATGGCATTCCCTGATAGGCTAACTTGCAGCTCCATGTTGATTTATCCATGCTTTGGACTCTTCACCCACCTGATTTCCCATCTCTGCCTCTTAAGTATCGAAGAGGAAGCAGTCCTATTCATGGAATTTTTAGGGAGGTTGCTGCCTTTTTGGAGGCTGTGTCTTCCAGTGGGGAGAGGACCAGATATCAGCAACCAGAGGGCCTCTTCTGTCACCATCCTGGGCTGATTTGTGGCTCCTCCCATTGTCCCCCATGCCTTGGGCCAGGCCTACATGCCAGATTTCAGGAATGGTCAGTGTCACACTGTCATCTTTAGTGTGCCCAGTAGCCAGGCAGAACTTCTCGATAGCTGCTTCCTGAGTGCTCCCGGGAGGCAGGAAGGTGTGTGGATGCTAGGACTGGGACAATTCAGTAATGAGCCCCAAGCCCTGACAGTGACTCTGCTGCTAAGTTAGGGGAAACAGAGAACCGCACTGAAGAGCAGCCAGACCCAGCATGGGGACAACGACACACTACAGGACACTCGCCTGACATCTGACTGCATGGTTAGAAACCTGCAGAGCTGTCCTTATGAAAATGCAAAGCAGATCCAGAAGGAACTACTATGGTCTGATTGTCTTTAAGAAGTTTTATCAATTAGAGACCAGAAGTTTTTTCCTGATGATGTTTATTTCATAAATGTAATTATTTTTCTAAAACATATTAAAATAGAAAACATGTTCTTTTGATCAATTTATACAAAGAAAATACCAATATAGTAATAAAAATACTGAAAATATATGAAAAGCACCAGAACATTAGAGAAATTACACTGGCAACAATTCTAGGAATATATTTTTTTTGTAATTGTACAATAAAGTGCTAATAAATCCAGTCAAAATTAGTGGCAAGATATAAAAACAGTTATGGTGTTATGAAATTTGAGGCCAGGTTTACCAGCATCGCATTTTTAGACTACTTGCAGATCAAGCTAATGATATTTCATTAATGTTTTCATGGAAAAATCTATCAATATCCATTCCCAAGTGAAAACTAAAAACTAAATTCAAAAGCCAGTCCTTGGTAATATGGTCATGAACAGGTAATGGCATGATTAAAAATAAAACTGATTCAAGTAGCAAAAATAATCATGCATGTGTGATTAAATCAAATCAAACAAAGACAGTATAAAATCAAACGTAAATGTGTATGATTAATCAAGACAAGTACAAAAGTTTAGATGCTTTTGATTTGGTAGTTAATTTTCAGTAATTCTGCTTAGTCACATTTAACAGACGCACAAATGTCAACAGGATATGTTATTAAATAAATTCAACTGACCCGACTCAAGCAAAGGATAGTTCAGCAAGCCAACATAATTTTCATAGAAACATTAAAGGGACACCGTTAAGACAATACATTTCCAATCTTGGCTAATTCTGTCCTCATTTACTTATTTGCTGAGGAACAAAAACACACACAAATACTTTAGGATTAGATTATATTAAGGCCAAAAATCTACCATGTAAGGGAAGCCACTGTGTGTACACACAGGGCTATACTGTGCACGGCACTTAGGGTGGACTGTAGTCCGTTTCACATCTGGGGGTGGCAAACTGAAACAGAAAAGCCCAAATTAAGACCGGGTATCACACCAGTGTCCTTTTAAGGGTTTATTTCCTCGGTTACTTTCGAAGCTCCTACTGTATCATTCTCCAAAACTCAGTTTGGGAATCCACTTCTTCAGGATCCAAACCAACAACACTGCACCTCAGAACAAAGAACAACAAATCTCCAAGACGTGGCTCCATCGAGACTCAAAATTTATTTTACAGGCATACTATTTTTCTTTCATATAAAGTAGATGTGCATGTGACTGAAGTAGGTCGTATTAATGAGAAAAGAAGCGAACTTCCTTAGCCTCTGCTCCTGCAAGGTGTGTCTTTTTAGGAATTTACGAACCGTACTGGACGGGTATTACTGTGCCAAAGGCAGAGTAGCCGGCAACTTCATTTGCCCTGGTCTGACGGTTTTTCAGTCGATCACGAGTGTTACTTTTCATCCTCTAAATGGAGAGCTGACACTTGAGCGTCTGTGTTTTTTTGTTTTTTTTTCCTTTTGTGGGGTTCCTTCTCATGGCTGATATTAACAAGGAACATTTTGAAAGGCAAATTAATCATACTTACTTAGCATCTCAAAATCCATTTTTTTCACAAAGTTTTATCTAATGCCTTTCCTTTAGAAATGACAGTGAAAATGCAGTTCGTGTTCCCAGAGAGGCTCCTGTGCTCTGGAATGAGGGTGAAGATCAGGCCTTTAGAATTAATTAGGCAAAAGGTTCAGTGTCCAGCCACAGTGGACAACAGGCAGCTGCATAGAAATGACTGGAAAGGGAGGCAGCTCGAGGAGACTTTCCTTCTGGGTATTACTAACAGAATCGGAAGAAAAAACCAACCACACTTAGTTTTCCAAATTCTAACAGAATGCGAGTGTTCCTAAAAAAGCCTGAGATGAATAAAAGGCAGGCCGTCATGGAACACTGAGAAATAAAGGCTAAGGTGGTTTGGCATTAAATAGGTTTACATTCCAAAAGAATATTGACTATCGTTGGGAAGTAATTCTCAAAATTACAAAGTCATGATTACATAAATTACTCTGTATGTCTTCTTCTTCAATATACACGTTCTTCTATATACATAGTATAGAAAAGCTAGTAAGTCGGCTCAGCTAGAATAATTCTGTCATAAAAATGCGGACTACATATTTTGGCTGCAACAAAGCATGTTACTTCCACTTTCCCATTTTGCTAATGTATTTACAGGAGAAGACTTAAGCTTCAAAAGTGTTCAAATCAAAAGGAAAAAATAAGTTATATTTAAACTACTAATTTACACAATGCATACGCCTTTACTTACTTTCCCAACTATCACAGTCTCTAATCATTTCTCCAGCATCTCTTTATTCGAGCAGTTTATTTTCAAGAGATGTAAGTGTTACACCCCTCTACGTGCTGCGTATTTCCTTTGAGGAAGCACAGATGTGCAAGATTTTTTAGTAGCTTGGTGGAGAAGTTTTGGGTCTGTTACTTTTTCCAACTAATGGTTGAAGGAGCCATGTTGCCGACCAGGCACCACTTCTTTAACTCAACAGTGAATAGAAGAAAGAGACGACAACAGCAAGCAAGAGCAGGGTTAAAGAAAGCAGTAGCTGCTGGAACCAGATACAACGCTGAACTTGGTCTTCAAGCTTCCTATTGCTTTCTAGTAAACGATTGAGCTGAAGAGGCAAAAAGGGATGAAAGATCTGCATCAATAAAATGGTCATTAATCATGGGAATGACAAACAGGAATATTCGAAATCCACACATACAAGGGATGGGGCTCGCCTACTCTGAAAGGCTGCGAGCTAGATGTGCAATGAGGTGTGAGATTTGCTCAGTGGATGGATTGGCCTCTGCTTATTCTCATTGTGAAAGGTCTCATTTTCAAGTTGAGACAGGAGCAGAGCAATCACTTCCTGGAGATGCACAAGCCCCGAGCTAGCAGCAGCTATTCAGAAAGCGAGCCTTCCTGCCCTTCAAATTGTAATGTACTACTTGGTACTTTTGGTCTCAAAAGCCAATTCTTGGCTACTCCCCCAAATTTTTTTTTTTTTTTTTTTTTTTTTTTTTGACAGGCAGAGGGGACAGTCAGAGTGGACAGTGAGAGAGAGACAGAGAGAGAAAGGTCTTCCTTTGCCGTTGGTTCACCCTCCAATGGCCGCCGCTGCAGCCGGCGGACCGCCCACCGCGCTGATCCGTGGCAGGAGCCAGGAGCCAGGTGCTTTTCCTGGTCTCCCATGGGGTGCAGGGCCCAAGCACCTGGGCCATCCTCCACTGCACTCCCTGGCCATAGCAGAGAGCTGGCCTGGAAGAGGGGCAACCGGGACAGAATCCGGCGCCCCAACCGGGACTAGAACCCGGTGTGCCGGCGCCGCAAGGCGGAGGATTAGCCTATTGAGCCACGGCGCCGGCTCCAAACACCTGTATTTTGCTATTGGTCCCTACCCAAATTAAAATGGCCAGAGCATTTAAAAGGTTAGTAGGTCTCCAAAAGTAACTCACCACATATCACTTCTGATTTGGTGTCTTTTTACAAAGAAGAGAGCATCTCCGGTGTGTCTCTACTGATGGTTTCTCCTTAGGTCAGCGGGTGAGAATGGGTTTCTAAGGTTGCTTACCTTTTTACAACTAACATGTTATAGTTAGGAAGAAAGTACACTTACTTGCAGATATATATCTTCACCGGTTTTATCTGACATGTTAAAAGCGTTGTCTTTTAACGTAAGAGTGTTTGGTTTACTGCTCTCAACAGTATGGCATCTTAACCTACAAAAATCCAAAGACATTAACTCTTTAAAAGTTTCAATGAATTTTCTTTTTTAAAACACTTTATTTTATTTATTTGAAAGAGAGAGAGAGAGAGAGATCGAGAGAGATCGTCTATCTACTGGTTCACTCCTCAAATGGCTGCAAAGCCAGGGATAGGTCAAGCCAAAGCCAGGAGCCAGGAGCCAGGAGCTTCATCCTGGTCTCCCACATGGGTGCAGAGGCCCAAGGACTTGCGCCATTTTCTATTGCTTTCCCAGGTGCATTGGCAGGGAGCTGGATTGGAAGTGGAGCAGCACGGACTCGAACTGGTGACTGTAAGGGATGCCGGCACTGCACGTGGCAGCTTAACCCTCTATACCACAAAGTGGGCCCCTCCATAAATTTTATTTCTTTTTTTAATATTTATTTATTTATTTGAAAGAGTTACACAGAGAGAGGAGAGGCAGAGAGAGAGAGGTCTTCCATCTGCTAGTTCACTCCCCAATTGGCCGCAACAGCCGGAGCTGTGCCGATCCGAAGCCAGGAGCCAGGACCTTCCTCCAAGTCTCCCTCACAGGTACAGGGGCCCAAGGACTCGGGTCATCTTGTACTGCTTTCCCAGGCCATAGCAGAAAGCTGGATTGGAAATGGAGCAGCAGGGTCTCGAACCGGCGCCCATATGGGATGCTGGCGCTTCAGGCCTGGGCGTTAAACTGCTGCGCCACAGCGCCAGCCCCCATTAATTTTCTTATAAGAGTAAAATAGAAACTGAAAAGAGTTAAATGCAGAAGTCTGTGTCACAGAGGTGAAAGCCCTCATCCCTCTATCCTGCTTTGCCTTCGGCAGCAGCTTAGTGGATATTTATCATGCAGCTGCTTTTTCCGTGTAAAAAGGACAGAAGAGGTCACCGAGGCTAATCAATAACCCACAGGATTCCCCAGGAAGATTTTCTTACAAGGAATTCCGCAGAATTCATGCAAATATCTCATGACTGGAAGGCAACCACACTTTCTAGATGGGAGACAGCAGAACTCCCTAGGCCTCCCTGCCGCTTTCCTAACTGTTAGGAACTGGGAAGACGGACAACAGTGTAACACTTACTCAAAAGCCCCCAGAACCCTCATTTGGAGGAACCATTTCATAAGAGTTTCAAATTAATCTCCAACACCTTTTATATCGGTGTCTTAGCCTTTCAAAGTATTCCCGTCACCATGCCTTTGATCAGAGAAGCACAAGGAAGAACAATAGGCCCTCCTGTAGAATGAACTGGAAAATGGGAACATGTAGACACCGATGTAAATCAAGTGGAACACTCTGAGCCTGACCTCTGTCTGCTTTACCTCCTCCTTCCCACTAAGGCTGACACCCCCACCCCTCCTTTTGGTTTCAACCCTTCCAGCCTTCTCAGGAATGGAACTGCCAGTGGCTTCTCTCTCTTATGTTTGGCCTCTCCTCCGATGGACCTAGCTCTGGGCTTTTAAACAGTGCTCACTTCTTGCCCATGACAGACCCCCAAACAATACCTTCATTAATGCCACATTCCTTCTTCCAAATGTTACCTCAGCCCCTGTTTGACCAGCCACGCCTCCAGCATGGTCTCCCCGCTTCCAGTTCCTTACTATCTGACCCCTCTCTCCAACGTGGCTCCTGGTTGCCTGAAAGTGCTCTCTGTTCGCACATCAATAATGTCACCACCAAGGGCACTGCCCACATATCATGCTCCTGGACCAGCACTGGCAGCACTTGGTACCACTGGTTACTTCTTCCCTCGTAAAGTATTCTTCTAGGGGTAGGTGCTGTGGTGTAGCAGTTAAAGCCACTGACTATGGTGCTGGCATCCCATATGTGTGCCAGTTCGAGGCCAGACTGCTCCACTTCTGATCCAGCTCCCTGCTAATGCTCCTGGGAAAGCAGTGGAAGATGGCCCAAGTGCTTGGGCCCCTGCACCCACGTGGGAGACCCAGAGGAAGCTCCTGGTCCAGCTCCAGCAATTGCAGCCATTTGGAGAGTGAACCAGTGGATGAAAGCTAGCATTCTCTCTCTCTCTCACTCTCTCTCTCTCTCTCTCTCTCTCTCTAATTCTGGGCTCTGTTATGACTGCCACAAAATTCTCCCAGCTAGGTCTAACTTTTCCCCTCTGGCTGTGACAACTGAAATAACACCTGTCTCCCTGGGCCCTTGCTTGCTCACTTCCACTTTATTAAGCACATAGCTGACTAGGTGACCTTGAAAAAGGCACATCAGATCGGGTGTCAGTTTATGATGGAGGTGAACTCCTCCTCTGACCTCGCCTGCCTCTCCAGCTTGCTTTCTTATTATGGATCTTCTCATTTTTTGTTCCAGCCACACTTATTTTCTTTTAACCCCTTTTTTCATTCCATTCAGCCATGACAACTAGGTTTTCCAGTTTGTCATGTCTTAAGAGGGTTTTTAAAATCCCTCTCCCTCTCCCTCCCTCTAAAGGTGGGCTTCATGACTGCATGAGTGGATGAAACTAAAACATCTGGCACCATGGAGCCCACACCCACCACTACTCCAGTGTGACATCCTCAGCAGCGCTCGTGCCTGCACCTGCCAACTATTCCCTACACGGCCCCAGAAGGGTCCTTTGCAAAATAAGCTGTGTCATCGTGTGGCTGTGCTCTGCCCAGACACATGGTTTCTGCCCTTGAACTCGGCAGTCCTCACTGTGGCAATGCTCTGGGGGCCTGCTATCTTTGTCCCCATCTCCTGCCGCCCTCTTCCTTTACTGAAGTCAAGCAACACTAACTTCCTTGCTGTGCCTCATACAGTTTCAGAACACTCCTTTGTTGCTTGCTCTTCCTTCTGGTGGAAGGTTTTTTGTCCAATTATCTATGGGGCCCCTTTCTCAGTTCCTTCAGGTCCTGCTGAAGTGTTGTCAGAGGGGCCATCCTTAACCGGTGTGTGAGCCAGGGCTTCTCACCTCAACACTCTTGACATTCGCGCCTGGAATGCGCCGTCCCGTGCACTGCAGCTTCAGTGGCATCCTTGGGCTCCCGCGCCCTGCCACACTACCCTACCCCCTCGTTGTGACAACCAAAAATGTCTCTAGACGTTGACAAATGTCCAATGGGGAACAAAACTGGGAATGCTTTAATTCTTTCTTTTCTCTATGCCTTTTCAAAACCTCTGTCACAACTGACACGCTCACATGCACACACATATACGTACACACTCACAGCTTTTCCCCCTCTTATGTCAGGCATATTTTTGTGTGACTGCAGCTTTTCTCTAAGAAGACATCACAGATGTCTTTCCAAGTCAGAACAAACAGACTTACCGTGCCTTTCTGAGCGGCTATGGGGTCCTCTGTAGCATGGACACTGCGTAATGTATCTCACTGTTGCTTCACCAGTGGCCATTTCGGTTGTTACTTTCCAACCTTTCACACTTACAAACAATGCTGGCACTAATGTGACAGCACAGAGGGTGACTGTTCCTACCAGGGGAGTTGCTTAGACGGAGATCTGTGTGTGTGCTCTGGACAGATCCAGACTCGTGCGCAGGCCTGCCAGCGAGCCTCTCTATTAGCGCTCTCCATTAGCAGCTCTGGGCCATTCCTCTGGGTGTCCCTAGAGCCTTGCAGAGTTCCTGGCCCACATGGAATGCTTTGGCGCCTGCCAGACGCGGGAGGGGAGGGATGCCGCCTAGCTCACGGAGGCACGTTTGTGTTCTGTGCGTAAACGCTTACCTGTGCTCCATCACTTTGTTTCTGGGAACTTGTTTCCAGAACTGCGTCAATTCTGCTGGCCCTGTGCCAGATGACTGTTCCATTTCTGCGGCCATGATCAGAAAACGGTCTTGGGCAGAGACTATGAAACCTGCATTTCAAAAAGATAACTCAGCGCCCAAACAGGAAGCTTTACAAGGAGCTGAATATGTGGCCTGAGGCGTTATAGAATACAACATAAAGAAAAAAGAAGAAAATGGAACTACCTTAAAAAAGAAAAAAGAAATTCTAATAAGGAGAATTCTTGCTTTTCTGAAATTCAATTTTAATTCTTGTCCATTTAAACAATGTTATTCTATAAAAATAATTATATTTTAATGCTGGAAAAGGGCTTCGGGGTAGGGCCGGCGCCGCGGCTCACCAGGTTCTAGTCCGGATCAGGACGCTGGATTCTGTCCCGGTTGCCCCTCTTCCAGGCCAGCTCTCTGCTGTGGCCAGGGAGTGCAGTGGAGGATGGCCCAAGTGCTTGGGCCCTGCACCCCATGGGAGACCAGGAGAAGCACCTGGCTCCTGCCATCGGATCAGCGCGGTGCGCCGGCCGTGGCGGCCATTGGAGGGTGAACCAATGGCAAAGGAAGACCTTTCTCTCTGTCTCTCTCTCTCACTGTCCACTCTGCCTGTCAAAAAAAAAAAAAAAAAGGGCTTCGGGGACCCTTTTGATCTTCTCATTTTACATGTGAGACAAGGATGCCTAGAGTGAGGTGAGGAGACTTGCTGATATCTTTTGTTCTCTAGTTTCTAGCTGGTAGCTCCGCATGCTGGCACCCAACTCCAAGCTCCGCCCCTACCACACCTGCTGTGGCCCCCAGCTGACAACTCACCCCCATGGGGAGATACAATTATATCCACCGATGCACCAGGGTCACAGCTGCTGTTGCTTGGCTTGACTCTGTATTTTTCCGGAGCAGTTGTTCTCACCTGTTTATAAATACAGTTAGTCACATCACAACCTTCATTTTTTCAGGGGCGAAGTGGTTTAAGAACGACTTGGAAAAAAACCCCGGAAGTTAATAATGAATGATCAGAGTCTGCAGAGCAGCTTTGGCGGTTATGCACACAATGCATATTTTTCCTCCCAAGGGGATAAAAGCATCTTGACCTATATCTAAGTCACTTAGCCTTCCTCTTCAATAAAAATATTAATCCATGCGTTAAATATTTGTTTAATGGCCTGAATTTAGTGATGCAAATTCACAAAACAATGCCCATTAGAGCACATTACACAAGTGCTCAGAAAATCAAAGCAGTAGATAATCGGAGCCTATCCAGCACCTCCTAGCAGCTGCATCGAAGTCAAACGGAGGATTTACGCTGTACAGTTCAGGGCAGTGCTGGACGCAGTCCTGCTCAGGATCAGGTTAGCATTCCATATTAATTACCCTCCAGAATACTCTGCTTTGGATTTTATAGTTTTACCTTCCACTGTTATTACAAATTAAATTATTCATATAACAAAGAGTGGTTATTCTAGGGTTTTTATTTCTAGAAAATTCTAAATCCTAGCACTGGTTTGGATATTAGCCCATTACTGCACTTTTAAGGTTGTGACACATGGGGCAGGCATGGGTACGGCGGTGAACATGCTGCTTGAGATGCCTGCATCCTACAGCGGAGCACTCTGCTTCTGACTCTAGCTTCATGCTGCTGTGCAGCCGGTGATGGCTCAAGTACCTGAGGCCCTGCCACACTTGTGGGAGACCCAATTGAGTTTGTGGCTCCCAGCTTTGGCCTGACCCTGCTCTGGCTGTTGTGGGCATTTGGGGAGTGAACAAGCATTTGGAGGATCTGTGTCTGTCTCTCTGCCTTTCAAATAAAAATAAATAAATAAATAAAAATTTAAAAGAAAAGGTTGAGATATAGATCCCAGGGAAAATTTTAGATAAGTTATACTGCTCGGTTACAAGTATAAGGTAGGGGGCCAGCGTCGTGGCATCGTAGGTAAAGCTGCTGCCTATGACGCTGGCATCCCATACGGGTGCTGGTTCCTGTTCTTGCTGCGCCACTTCTAATCCAGCTCGCTGCTAATGGCCAGGGAAAGCAGCTAAAAATGGCCTAAGTACTTGGCCTCCTGCTACTCATGTGGGAGACCTTGAAGATGCTCCTGGTTCCTAGCTTCAGCCTAGCGCAGCCCCAGCCATTGCGGCCATCTGAAGAGTGAACCAGTGGATAGAAGATCTCTCTCTCTCTTTCTCTCTCTCTCGGTCTCTGCCTCTCTCTCTGTAAGTCTTTCAAATAAATAAATAAATCTTTAAAAAAGTAGAAGGTAGTACAACATGCCAAAAAATATAAATGACAACACCGTGCAAGTTCAAAGTTATCTGTCTTTCAATTAGAATATGCCTAGAATCACTTCCTATGTTATATTTCCACAATTTGTTTATTACATCTTTCAGATATTTACCTTAAAGGCCACTATATTTTTAGTTACATTTGTCAACACTATTAAAGTTTTCTTCTCTCCAGATTCTGTACTTCCAAAATACAGTTCTTCAGCTGGGCTACATGGTGACAAAAACACAAAGAATTTATATTACTCAGAATAAATGACAATCTAATTGCTAACTTTAAGAAAAATATTTGGTTAATATTTTATGCTCATTTGGATAAAGAGATTTTACTAAAAGGACTACAAACAATTATCGAATATGATTTTATATTTTAATCTTACTGATTCAATATCTGTTATTTAAGAAGTCCTCTGGTTTTCCCTAATATCAGAAGCATAATAAAGAAGAATAGAAATCAGAATTAGGAAGATTCTGTATCAACCCTATAATCAATGCAATTTTAAGATGCATTTATTTCAACTCTTGGGAAGGTTATGGATTATAATCAATGCAAAGAAGGTATCACTACTTCAAGTTTACCTAATTGCAGAAAGACTAGAATGGGGCATATCTAACAGAGAAGACTATAACTTATAAAGAAAGATCATTAGGGATACATGTAAGTAACAGGACAATTTCTTATTACACAATGGCTTTCCTTAGTAATAGAGGAGAAAAGTAAACACGGAAATCAATTTGGGGTGGGAACTTATCAAACAGTAAACACAGTAAGCCTCAGACTTCAAAGTTTACTGTCATGCGCCAATGTAATGCTCAAGACCTAAAATAGAAATGAAGAGACTCAAGCCAAGTTTATAATTATGTTAGCCAAACTGTATCATGTGCCTCAAAAATGAGCATTTCTGTTGCGCATAAAAAGGTGAATGACTGAGCTAAGGTGAGTCTTCAGATAGCCCTTGCTGCTTAGATGCACCTTTAAATGGATCCGTTGTTACCAGGAATATCTGCCCATCAGGGACATTCCTTCGTGTAGAGAACACCTATTTTGAGGAAGCGTTCTCCCAGAAAGGCTGTGGCCAGCTCTGGACAAGATGGAAAATGAGCACAGTTGCTGGCTTCCTGTTAGAGTTCCCTCTTAAGGCCAGGGAAGTGATGGATCTCTGAATTGCTCTCAGTAAGCAGCACGGAATCACAGCTGTGACCATGCCAAGGGGACAGGCGCTGGCGGGCAGAGCCAAAGCGCAGCCTTGGACGCTGTCCTGCCGCAGCCCGGCTTCTCCCACGCCTTTCTTCCTGTCCCACCTGGACACTTCGAGGCTAGGGCCTACACTTCTCACAGGCGTCCTGGGAACACAAAATGTGGAATTTTCCCAGTATAAGGGAAAATGGAAACAAACTCTAAAGGGGAAAAATGGCAAAATAAAACCATGAGAAACAAAATACATGTGCCTCTCATACATGTGCACCCCCGTCACACACACACGCACACACACACGCACACACGCACACACTGAAGTTGTGGAGATAAATCTAAATATAACAGTAATAAAATTATATATAACCAAACTGATCTTGTTAACCAGAGTACCCGAGATTAGAGTTTTTGAATGTCTGGTTGTATGAGGGATCTTCAGAAAGTCCACAAAATATGCACATTATGAGAAAACTATGCATGGATTTCAACAAATTTTTTGCATTCAAACCACTTTATCTTTTAATTCGATTTTCTATAGACTTTCTGAAGTACTCCTGTATTGTTCAAAACAGACATGTCTAAAGCACAGTTACACAGGAAAGTTGCAAGTAAAGGGGCACAAAATTGCTACATTAGATCAGCATTGAAGTGGGCTGGTGCAGTAGTATCAACTTAAGGCTAAACAGATTTCCCAAGCAAAAGCATCAGTGGTGGGAAAGATGTCTTTAAATAATGATAAAAAAGTCATATTTGGGGTTAAATAACCTGGCAAAATAGACATGCGCTGAAGTTGGGCTTTAGTCAAAAACCTATTTTCCCAAGTTCACCTTTGGCTTTTAGAAGGTCAAATCAACAAAGACCAATTTCAGTGGCATTTCTGACACACCTGAACTTGTGCAAGTATCAGTAATATGAGAAAAGAATGTAATGGTGATTCAGATGACTAGAAATTTATGAATATTCATTTTTATTAACTGACACACAAAGAAGGTCCTTAAAGGCTCAGTGGAATAACTAAGAAAAAGGTGGCTAAGAATATCACTATGGGAACCATGGCAACACTTCAGATCACCTTAAATTTTGTTATCTCCATAGTTTCAAGAATAGTATAGAAGTTTTCTAAATTTTGCAGCTCCCTTAAGATGATCAAGATCTGTCCTAAATCTGTAGCTAACAAAATTAAAGAGTACCTGATATGTAGTAAGGGCCCTTTAAACACACTCAAGGGTTTCTTGAAAGATTTTATCTTTGAATCGCCTTTTTCATTTTCTTCTACTTTGGAAGTAGGTTCGGATGGGTTAAGCTAAAGACACAGGAAAGAAAATGAAGAGGGAAAAGACACTGAAAATTTATTATTACCCTGACATTTGGGCATGTTATTAGGCAAAAAAGTAAACATTATTTTGAGTCAATCCAAATTATACTTTTTAATTAGGTTTACTAGGTCTAAGAGACACATGTAAGCTATATTAACAGGACCCTTAACATATAGTTGAGTGCCTGCTACAAACAGATCACTGCAGAAAATGTAACATGATTCTTTCCTTAAGTGTTTAAATTTGTTCTAAATTATAACATCATATCTGTCCTCTATCATTCATCCCTGATTACTTGTGAAAAGAGTGCCAACTAAGTGCTCTTTAAACAAAATGAGATAGAGAAACTATATCAAGGTAGGTTCACATTCATCACATTCATAAAATATTTTTCTCTTAGGCAATTAAAATATTTTATAAATTGGGGCTAGAGCATAGCCTTTGCCTCCAGTTACCTTCTTTAGCAGAGCTGTTTGTTCTTCATTAGGAACGGTTTCCAGGGTTTCTTTGCCGTCACTTTCTATATCCTCTTTACTTGAAGTTTCGTCCTCACTGGTAATGGGCCCATTCTCACACAGTGGCGTCTGGAAGTCATCATCTACTAACGGTGGGTAGCTGTACTTGAAAGGATCCTAAAAGAAAAGAATTGATCAGGCTCTCGAGAAACGGCTAGTAGATTTGAAATTCATTACTTTGAAAACTGATTGAATTAGGTAGTGCAATTTCAAATATAGGAAGCATTATGTCAAGCTAGAAAGGGAAAGAAAGGAAGAGGTGTGGGACATTTGGCTATCTAGCTATGAAGACTCCATTAGCTCTTTAGCTCTCTCCTCACGCCAAAACAAATGGTGGATAGATAAAAGCTTTAAATGTATGCATGCATGAGTAGGTGTGTGATTAGAAAATATTCAAGCTCCAGAACAAAACTAAATAGGATTGAAAACAAAACAAAATAAAAAGACACACTAAAACCCAAGAAAGGAAGGCCCTTTTACACAAGGCAGAAACTCCAGAAGGAGATAAATGTCGATAAGAACTGAGCACGCGACAACAAAGCAATTCCCAATGGCCCCAAGCAAGCGAAACCCAATCAACCAATCAATGAAGCAGGAACCGAAAAGCCCTCTGAAAACAAAACACATTAAGTAAGCTTTTTGTTTACAAAAGGTCACAACTGGAAAAATATGTATCACACAGGTAAGAAATGAAAGACAGCCTTTGTTAACATATACAAAGCAGCAAGCAACAGTGTGCCGACCCACCAGAACAAGGGGGAGGGAAGGATACAGAGTTCACAGAAACCCAACCAAGGCTGCCTCTGGAAGCTGCTCCAGATCTCTTACAACAAAACACACGCCAAGTGCAAACCACAGTACAATCTTCTTCACCTGAGAATGGCAAAGACAGCCAACGTGAGAGTAGGTGGTGTTGGCAAGCCATGGTTCCAGTGTTCTCACACTGGAGGGAAGTGGGCCCAATCTCTTTAGAGGCACGTGGCAACAGACATCTAAATGAGAAACCGTATATACCCACTGGTCCAGTTATTTTACTTCTCGAAGCTTATCCTTTGGGGGATATTTGCTGTGGCCCTGGACCAAGAGTTATTTGCAAGGATCTTCCCTGCAGCGATCTTTCTAAGGGCAAAAGAGTACAGAACCAGCACAGCCCAGACGGTCCTTTGTGAAGTAAATCACCCTCTCCACATGCAAAAGAAAACAGCAGTTTTACTGAATGCATTTTAAGACACAACAATTTTTATGGGCAAATTATTATAAATGACAAGTCAAATAAATTGTTATTTTAACTAACTGTCATAGCTGACCTGGGCCACACACTTGGTCTCTCTGGTTAATATGTGAAATACAAAGCCTCAGAAGAGGACAGCAGTAAACTTCAAATTAAAAATACTGCTTCAAGGCTTTTCTAATCAAAGAAAACAGAGGACATTCCAAAGCTGTCATCTTGCTTCTCTCAGAATAGAATTTTGCCAGGAAGTATAAAAGCAGACCGTACAAATTAAGTATATTAAGAAATATTGTCGACTCAAAGCATACCAAATCCATATGTTTCACAGTTTCTATACTTAACATGTTTTAAGTGAAAAAGACTTGAACAGCGAACAACTGGAAACAGATTAAAGATATATCAAAAGGAAAGTCAACAGCTTATGGTTCATTTCTAGACAATGGAATACTATGCAGCCACAAACAATCAAGTTTGCCATATACTGACTTGGAATGATCTCAAAGAAAAAAGGTCCCAGAATGACACCAGAGTGTATAAATATACTAGCTGTTTAGAAGACACGAGTGTGAGGAAGAATTATACATGCTTTTTTGCTTATCTATGCAATACATATCTCCTGGAATTAATACAAAGAAATCCAAGTGGGAAGGGGACCAGGAGTAGGGGACAGGACTGGGAGACATTTGACTGAAGACTTGTTTCTGCATACTCTCCTGAGTACTCCTTAGTTGATAACCACACGAACATACCACTTAGGAAAAGAAACATTTAGCAACTTCAACATGTAAATAAAAAACCCCTGCACATTGCTTGTAGCTACTCTTGGGTATCGAGCATCTTCCTTTTGCCATGGGAAAAGAACACAGCCTAACTGGCCATTGTCCAGATTTCAGGTAGTATACTTACAGTTCCACCCATGTGGGGAGGCAGGTATTCTACACTGACATAATCCTGGACTTCATTTTTACTTGTGAACTTCAACAAACTCACAGCTTCTGGACCAAGCCAAGTTTTCACAATTTTGAAAGCAGCTGAAGAAAAAAACAGTCACTTCATTATAATTCTTTTCATATTTTCTTAATTTATTGTATGTGCTAGCCCAGGTCTTCTGGAATCAGTCTGGCCTATATCTACTAACACTTATCTTTGCGTGGCCAAATAGTTAATTAAGATTCTCTAATTCTTGCAAGCATTTACAGTAACTGTAAATGACTGACCCTTATGGGTTTCCAGTGTTCCACAAAGATTTAGGAAGATTAAATTATCCTGATGTTCATTAATGAACTTGTAAGGGTTTTGGCCTCTGAACACATCTATCAATGACCTCAACCACTTTTAGGCTCTGAATCAAAGTGCAGTGTGATTCAGGGAATAAATAACTGCATAGTAGGATGAAGAGTTATTTCCTTTATGGCTCTGATAAATCCACAATCCTAAAGGCCTTTTCAACGGGGTCCGGAAGAGAAGGAAGCAGCCCTCCTTGTTATGGGTGTGAGCTGGACCCAGACTTCCTTCCTAATCCGAATCTTCTCTGGCTCTCTCTCAGGCGCTGCGGTTTACACACTGGGGGGAACTTAGGGAGTCAACAAGAAAGAACTATCAAACCCAGCTGCTTGGGACTCTCAATCTTCTGTCATGTCATTTCTCATTCACACTTAATTTTTGAAACTTGACTTATATTGTGACATCCTGATCACATATTAAAGAAATTAAAAGAGGAAAATGGAATTATATTTGCAAGTGCCATTGGCAAAAAACACAGGAAATAAGAATAGCATGCTAAATAGTAGTTCAGAAAATCACATTTTCACTTTGGCTAACTATGATTTCAGTTTTTTCACATAACATCTGAATTTTCATAACCGCTAAGTAACTTGACATGTTTGGAGCTATACTCCTTGAGTTAAATTAAGTGCTAAAGCTAATTTTTTGTAACAACTTTATTGAAATATAATTTACATACCATAAAAATATACCCTTTTAAGATTACCATTTGTTTTTAGTATATTCACAGGGTTGTACAATCATTACCACTACGTAATCTTTCAACATCTTCATCACACCAAAGAGTCCTCACAGTTCTTGGCAACTACTCATCTATTTTTTTGAAAGATTTATTTATTTATTTGAAAGTTAGAGTTACATGGAAAAGGAGAGGCAGTCCACCCACTGATTCATTCCCCAATCGGCAGCAAAGGCCGGAGCTGCGCTGATCCAAAGCCAGGAGCCAGGAGCTTCCTCCAGGTCTCCCGGGTGGGTGCAGGGGCCCAAGGACTTGGGCCATCCTCCACTGCTTTCCCAGGCCATAGCAAAGAGGGGGATCAGAAGTGCAGCAGCCGGGACTCAAACTGGCACCCATTTGGGATGCCAGCACTGCAGGCGGCAGCTTTACTTGCTATACCACAGTGCCGGCCCCTCATATATTTTCTATCTTCATGGATTTGCTGCTTTTGGAGATTGTGTATATATATATATATATATATAATCACAGAATCACAGAATATGTGGCTTTTTATACTGGCTTTGTTTACTTAGCATGTTTTCAAGTCTCATCCAAGATGGAACAGGTATTGGCACTTAGTTCTTGTTTATAGATACACAGTATTTATTTATCCATTTATCAACTGATGAACCTTTGAAGTGTTTCCACCTTTTCGATGATGAGTAATGCTGGTATAAACATCTGTGTGCAAGTTTTTGTGAAGACATGTTTTCACTTTGCAGGTATCTGAAGAAGTGGGGTTTATGGATCATTCCTGGTTTGACTTTTTGCAGAACTGCCCAGTTGTTTTGCATGGTGGCCACACCACTTTACAGTCTCACCAGCAGTGTACTGAGGATTCCAATTTCTCTATATCCTCACCAATATTTGTTATTGTCTCACTTTGACTTTCATTTCTCTAATGCCTGATGATGTTGAGTATCTTTTTATTTGCTTAGTGCCCATTTGTATATCTTCTTTAGAAAAATGTCTACAAATCTTTAATCCACTTTTTAATCAGGCCATATGTCTTTAGTGAATTGTAAATTATATATTCTAGCTATGTCTCTTATCAGATGTATGATTTGTAAGTCATTTCTTCTGCTTCGATGACTATCTTTTCACCTCTTGGTGGTGCACTCGGAAGCATAAAAGTTCTTAACTTTAAGGGTCCAACGTCATTCCTTTCGATGCAGATTCTCAGTTTGCCAGCATAACTTATGAAAAAGATTTCTTTTTTTTCTACTGGATTATTTTGGAATTGTCAAAAAAAGAAAATTAACTGATCACAAATGTTGAGCTCATCTCTGGACTCTGGTCTGTCTCATGGAGCTACATTATACCCACACTACAAGGTCTTGACTACAGTAGCTTGGTCATAAACTGAAATCAGGAAGTAAAAGTCTTCCAATTTTTTAAGACCATTTTGACTACTCTGGGCCTCTTGAATTTTCATATAAATTTAGGACCAGATTGTTGATTTTTGCCCCCCACCCCAAAAAAGTGGCTGAGCTTTTGATAGCAACTGCATTAGGATATCAATTTGGGAAGTGCTGCCATCTTTGTAAAACATTTAAAAGATTTTTTTTTTTTTTTGGAAAGAGAGGGAGAGGAAGAGAGAGAGAGAGAGAGAGGTTGATTGATTTCATCTTTGGTTCACTCCCCAAATGCCCGCAACAGCCATGGCTGGGCCTGTGCAAAGCCAGGAGCCAGAAACTCAATCTGGGCCTTAAGTCTTTTAATCTGTTACTGCAGATGGCTGGAACAGAGGTTCTCGTGCCCCATAAGAAAGGAATTTCAGACTGAGACCAAAATAGGCAGTAAGCAAACTAGTAGTGTTTAATGTAAAGTATGCACCTGGCAGGCCAGGTGGGCAACTCAGTAAAGACCCGAGGGCACAGTCTGCATTCAGACTGGAGTGTTTATGGGTATGGGCCCATCATTCCTCCTCTCCTGTACCTCTTCTTCTGGGATACTGCTGAGTGAAGGGCTTTCTGGGTGTGGACTTTGAGAAATTCCTCCCAGGGCTTTATCAGCACAGTGTTACAGAACTGAACGCTCACCCCTGGCAGCAGGCTGCAGAGACTCACCCACAAAATTATAGGACAGGGCATGCTTTCATGTTCCTTGCCTCATTCAACCATGTGAACTTCTCATTATTTTCCTTCCCCTCCCCCCAGCTCTCCCCAGACTGATGTCTACCTTTTTACTTTGCAAATCCATGAACGTGAGGTATTTGTTACATAGTGCTGCGGGGATGTGTTCCCTAGTTTTTATTCCAAGTCTTTGCTCCCAGCATGAGATAAGAATTCAAAGCAGAGGTATAAGTAAGGTGCACAAATGTGAACAGGATTTATTTCAAGTGAGGGTGTGCGTACACATTTGGGTGAGGAGAGATACTCATCATGAGAGGGCCAGCATAAAAGAGAGCTGCCCACAAGGAGAGAGAGCCAGAGAAGGCAAGAGAAAGAAGGCCAAAATGGGCCATTCCCTTGTCCAATGGTCCCCTTTAGGGGGTGGGGTGGTGCCCTAATTGAATATACAAATGGGGTGGAATTTGGGAGTTCAGTGTGTGAAGTCTTCTGGGAGCTTCATGGTGTCTCTATGTGGAGCTCAGCTTACATGTGTTCGTCATGCTGTGTGCTCTTTCATGGTGTAGGGGATACTCAGGTGCGTTGTGGGAAAATGGGTGTACTGGATTGGCACGTAAGGGAGTGGAGTTAAAGTGCAGGGCTGTGAGACAGAAACTGTGGGAAAATATTCCAGTTTATTTCTTCCCCTAATTTCCTGCCTATTCTGCATTAGCATTAGGTCTTTGAATGTTCTGGACTGGGGTTTTGTAGTTTGCATTACACATGTCTTGAACTCTTATTAATTTTATTTTGAAATTATTTTATGCTTTTGATGCTGATATAAATGAAGTTCTTTAAAAGTACATTTTTGGATTATTCATTGCTAGTGTATTGGAATAGAACTGATTTTGTGTTTTGACTTTGTATCCTACAATCTTGCTGAACTTGGTTCTAATACATAACTTGGTGAATTTCTTAAAATTTTCTATAGGATTATGTCATCTGCAAATAGAGACAGTGTTATCTCTTCCTTTCCAGTCTGAGTCTGTTTTGTTTCTTTCTTGCCTAACTGTCCTGGATAGACCATCCAGTATAATGTTGCATAGAAATGGGGAGAGCAGACAGTCGTGTCTTGTTCCTGATCTTAGTGGGGGAAGCATCCATTTTCTCACTGCTAAGTATGATGCTGGCTGTGGGTTTTCAGAGATGTCCATCATCAGGCTGAGCAAGTCCTCTTTTGTGTACCGAAGAATTCCCCTTATCCAAAGAAGTAAGGTCTTCTGCTTCTGGGAGGTGATCTTTATGCCTGATAGGATTGTTTTTGTTTGCCTGGGGACCTTGGGTCACATAGGAAGAATATGATTGAGGGTGGGAGCATGCCATGGCTGAAAAGTCTACCTGGGATTTAGGGTGGGGCTTTGAATCAGAGATCTCACTCAGCCTCTGGAGGGACCACAGACAGATCCACCATGTGGGCAATCAATCATGCCTATGTAATTAAATACATTAAAAGAAACCTGGACACTGAGGCTTGAGTGAAGTTCCCTGGTTGAGAATACTTGATGTGTACTGCCACATATGGATGCTGGTGAAGTAAAATGCTCTGCATCGGGCCCCTCCCTGGACTCGGAGCCACGTTTCATATTCCACGGCTGATTCTAATCTGAATCGTAATCATGGGTATAAAAGCTTTCAGAAAGTTCAAGGAGTGCCTTCAGTTCATGTCAGAGTTGACTGTGGTCTTGTGTTGCTTCAACTCTTTGCTGCTGACTTTGTAGACTGCTTTTATATCATGAAAGGGCACCGGATTTTGTCAAGTGTTTTTTCTCTGTCTATTCAGAGGATCATGTAGTTTCCCCCCACTTTAGTTCTATTAATATGGTGGATTATATTGCTTGATTTTCACAGGTTGAACCAGCTTTGCATTCCTGAGATAAATCTCACTTGGTCATAGTGTATAATGCTTGTTAAATGCTATTGGATCCAGTCTGCTAGTATTTTATTGAGGACTGGTGTGTTTATGTTCCTAAGGGATATGGTCTGTAATTTTCTTTCTCTATGATGCCTGATATTAGGGTTATACTTGCCTCATAAAGAGAGGTGGAAAGTATTTCTTCTTTTTCACTTTTTAGAAGTTTGCAAAGGATTGGTGTTGATTCTTCTTAAATGTTTCACAGAATTTACCAGTGAGGCCTCATGGGCATGGGCTTTTTTTGTGGGAAGTTCTTTCATTACTAGTTCAAGTTCCTTTGTTATCCTTCTACTCTGATTTTTCTTGGGTCAGCTTTGGCAATATGTGTGCTTCTGAGAATTTGTTCATTTCACCTAGGTTATCTAATTTCTTGACATACAGGTAGTCTTAGTATTGGCTTATAATCCTTTCTTATTTCTGCAAGGTCAGTGGTGATGTCCCCTCTTTCAGCCCACATTTTAATAATTTAGTTGTACTTTTGGCATTATTCATCATTTAATCTGTATTTTTCTCTGAATTCCACACAGGGCATGCACCATACAAGCATTGTTATCATAAGATACCTTTTCAATGGCTTTGAAAAATATATATCATGACTGTCAAAAAGGTCATGGGACTGCAGTGACCTAGTGTTAATTTCAGATTTGTCCCACTTTCTTCCTCAATGCCCAAAGCCCATGAGGAAACCCAGCCAAGGCCTGCCTTCTCTGACATACTCTATCTATTGGATAACAGACTGAAGCAGGTGGCTATGGTTTTATCTGAATAGCTGAGTACCTTGAGGCTGTTTTTGAAGAAGCCTGGCGGCTCTCGCTGAGCCTGGGAATGGACTGTTAGCCCAGTATGCTTAGGAACAGCTTTGAAGTGTTCCAGCTCCAGCCTCTTAGGAGTGTACACCAAGTACAATCAAAACATTTTTAAAATCAATTGCAGAAATATGGTTAAGCTGGCAAAGAAAGAAAGGAAGTCAGACATTTTGTTTCAGGAAGACATAAATAAAATACTCACCATTCATTATCCAAGGCATATCAAAGATGACTATTTTTGCTGAAAGAAGAAAAAAAATTCATTGAATGTGACTTAGTACCTCGACAGTACCATCACTTATCCCTGGCCTAGAAAAACTGGTCACCTGAATGTCAGTAGTAAGTGAGGCTGCTGAGTTTTAGTTCAGTGACGTGTGAGTGGTGCAGGAACTGGAGCAACATCTCACCCGAGGGAGAGGCCCACCCAAGAGCATGGCTTGTGGAAAATCAGTAATGCACTCGCGCTGTCCTTTGGCAAACAGCCTGTTCTGTTCACCTACTACTTTTGTTATTTGTAGAAAGGTACAAAAGAAAATAGTGCAGTGGCTAAGTGGAGACTTTGGCTGCAGCATGTCACATCAGTGCTGAAGGCCACTGAACCTTAAAAACACTTCTACGTCTAATCTCTCGTTTCAACTGTAATTTTCCAGATTATATTGTCAAAACGAGTCTCACAGTTACCCATATCCCTTTTAATAAATCCTATGTTTTAAGAAACAAAAATAGTTCTACTTTTCTCAATATTATGAGCTCCAGGAAGCCAATAATTCCAAAGCATACAGAAGTTGTATTTGCACACTGAGTTGGATATATTAAAAAGCTCTATTAACAACTGTGAGAAAGAACCACGAAACCACAAAGGGGATTGTTGCTATCAATTCACTCTTCTATTCAAGCTGAATCAAAATGTAACTTTGTAGGACAAGTAAAGTACAAATGAGGAATAAGGATCTGCTAAGGGGTTCCGTGACGCTTGTGATGCTTAATACGCTAGTCTTCTTCTGGGGAGTGTGAAAAGGTCTGGACTCAAGATTTTAAGATACAATAGCTATATTTCATGACCGATTTGGAAGCACAATCAATTAAAGGTGCCACAAAAGTCAGTGTCTGCAAAAACTACATTATGCAGGCAGACATATATATTATCTCTAGTTTATTGAAATGAATAGCATTCATCTTTATATAATCCATGAATTTATTAATAATTCTCCCCAAAGAATCTTAGATACATTTAATAAAGTAATGATATTCATACTATTCCTGAGTGGCTCTTCACAAATTCCTTTAGATAGTTCAATAAAAAGTAGATATTTTCTTTTGATTTTGTTCCTAAGAGAAACGAGCTAATAAAATGGGGTGGTGATTCCCTAGTGACGGCTAAGTGGCACTACTCTGCAAGATTTAATGATTCATGGCACATGGCAGATACAGCAAGAATTCCTAAGGAACAGAGATCCTAGAGGTTCCAACCTGGACACTGCTGGGCATTCTTTACCGAAAGATATTCATAAATGCTCCTTCGGCACAGATGGAAGTATGGGCTTAGGTGGCACTGCCATCATGCGAAATTTCTATCTGCTCCTTACTCCACTTTAACAGTAACAGGAAAGCAGGCCAAAAGATGATGTGAGGATTTGGTGCTTTCGTGTCCCCTGCATCGTGAGTTCCAGAAGACTCTAATGGTGATTTTCGCCAGGAGTATGCCCAGGAAGATCCATGACTTTCTACTTTCTGATGTCCCTGCTGCTTTTCTTCTGTCTTCACTTCTGTCCTACTGGGCTGAAGTATATTCGACTATTTACGTGGGTTGGCCTCTTGTTTTCCCTAGGGGGAACCTATCATATGAATCCAACAAATAAAAACTGAGTACACTGGAAAAGATTTAGGAGTTTGTCATTCAGGTAATGAATGGAAGAGTCAGAAGTAAAAACAAACTCAGGCGCGCTAGTCAAGGATTCTGTTAATGGCAACTTTTAATAGCAATTCGTGTACTTTGTGTATCAATAGTGCTTATATGGTTACATGCAAAAAGTTCAATATGATAAATATTGTTTTCAATGAATTTATAAAGTGAAAGATTAGTAAAAATAAGATCATCTTGGAAATAAATGTGTATTTTAAGTATGTGTGTGCATTCACGTTTCATAGGAGGTCATATATATAGTTGAGAGTTTAAACTCTTAAAACTCACTGTAAAGGACAACAACTACTTATGAGAATTTTTCCTCCTTACCTATCAGGATATGCACCCATTCATCTAAGAACACATTTAAAAACTCTTCATCAGAAAACAAAGTTTCAGGTATGAAAGTCTATAATAAAATGCTTCACAATTCTCAGATATTGTCTACAATTTCAATATATTATATTTTTTATAAAGGAGTGAGTTACTTACAGAGGTATTTAGGGTAATAAACCTTAAAGCAGTTGATGATAAAGCGTACAAAGTCCATGTCCTAAAATAAAGATTAAATCTTTAAGACTGTCCACATTAGAGAACTTTAAATTGTACATTTCTAAAGGTGACATATTAAATACAAATAATATAATAAGTAAATTCTTTTAAAAATAAGCTGAATATAAATGCCTATATTCCCAAGGATTAAGGCTTTTAGGTCATTAAGCTTTTTATAATCACTGGCCTTATAACTGAGTTAAAGGAATCAGATGCTTCGTGATGCTTTAAAATTATACACATCACCTCAAACTAGTTACATCCTTAAGCTGCTAGGCCAACAGGGCATACAGTGAATCTAAAAGCAATCCTCACAGAGAAATTCTAGAAATCTTTTCAACAGCTACAGAATTATTGAAACAAACATGGAGCATATAACCTATTTGTATATAAATTCTGGCATTGTATTTGCTTTTAAAGTTAATTTTTATACCTTATAACAACTTCAAAAATATATTTTCTGAATTAACAACAGCTACTATGATCACATGGGCCTGCTGTATCTACTTTACTTTCAGTTTCTTTCCTTTTATTTAGGGACCTAGAATCAGTGTTTTAGTTTCTACTCAAGTATTGTTCATTGTCTCCAATTTCTTGGAGACTTTATTAATATAGCTGACTGGCTGGTTCTATGGCTTTGAGCACAACAACAGGAAATTAGGTCACTAGGGGTATTATTCATATTTCATTCCATGTTATTTCATGGCACTGGCTGATTCACTAATTCTAAACAGCCATCTTATAAAGTCTGTTTAAAGCTATATGGAAGGTACAACCAAGTAAACTTAAATGCAGCACAATTACTGAAAGGCCAGTTGTCCTAGAGAGCAGAGTCTAAAGTCATCCCTGATGTGAGTTGCAGCATCTTTAATTGCAGTAAACAGAAAGTAGGTGTCCTTAATTATCTTAAGTATTGATTATGGGATAAATCCTAGTATATAATAAAATCTTTATAGCTAATCATTATATTCACTGTACCTAGAGCTTCATAATTTGTAGGTAAGCAAAGGTCAAAGCAAATGGCTACAAAGAACCAGTTATTCAAGCTGATTCGATAGGACATCACTGCTCTATGTTTATTAATGGGTACTACTCAAAATAGCTCCATGAAACCCTGTGCCCTGCATACTATGAGGATGTTTTTGAGGATATTATTTGTCTTGTAAAATGTCTTTCATAAGAGGACCTCTGAAAAACTTTTATTTCTAGCATAAGTCTTTAGGAACAGATACACTTCTCCTAAGGCACAAGTTTTTCAAGTAAAGATCCTGAATAATTTTAAGTGAGTCCATTTTTTTCACATAGTCAGCAAAAAGCTTTGTCAAATTGGTGGTCCACTTCTATTGATTTCCTTATGTAGTGCTTTGTAATTCTGTATACATCTTTATAAACTGACTTAATCCTTTGTGAATCATGAGAGGGTCATGTATAAAAATAAATTATCCAATGAGATTTGAGTATTGTAAAACATTAATCATGACTGAAATACTTAGTAATGCAAAGAGATCTCATTTACAAATTAAAGATGATGAGATGTAATATGGGGAGCCTGAAACAAATCAGGCAGCTCAAGTCAATTCCCTGCCCTTGTATTTGACAACAGAAAACATCAACCTCTATTTTCATGATTCTGAGTTAATAATTAGGAAACAATCTTACACAAAGAATAACAGAATCATGATTTTTTTTTACAGAATGTTTATTTAGGCAATTTGATTTTGATTATAACATTTTACTCTACTTTAAAACCCACTGACATGGAAACTAGGTTGGAAAAATTCAGGGCAATGTATTAAAAAATAAAAAGATAAATAGAAACATGAAAAAAAATCTGTTGTTTTTCACTGCAAAAAAGTTATGTTAACAGTCCTTTCTAGCCTGTTACTTTGCTTAAGTATAAATGTTCTTTTTCTGGAGTATGTATCACCATATTATAATCATATCTTTTTTTTTCGTTTAAAAATTATTCTCCAATATCATTACAAATACTTTAAAAACACCATTTACACAGGCACGCACACACCATCAGTTAGTGATGGTACATTTACACAGGCACGCACACACCATCAGTTAGTGATGGTACATTTACACAGGCACGCACACACCATCAGTTAGTGCATCATAATTCACCATCTCACGGTGCTGAGCATTTACATTTTTTCCCTAATTCCCACTACTTTAAACAACACTCTGAAAAAACATTTTGGAGCACAATGCCTTTTCTGTACTTGGGATTATTACTTGAGAATAGACTTCCAGAAGTAGCTGCTAGGCAAAGAGCATTACTACAAATATTTTAAGGTTTTAACACGCTTTGCCCAACAGATTTAAAAAAAAAAAATTTCGTTCAATAGTGCCCTGGGTGGGTCTGTGAAGGCCACTTCATGGCTACCAGAATGAGCCACAGTTTAAACCTTGAGAAGCAACAATAAATGTGGCGACTGATCCTCACTGCTGCTGAAGGGTTGCTTGTTACCATGAAGGTCACAAAGGCCCAAAGGCCCAAATGAAAGGCAGGTAGGTTTTATCTATTTTTTCAGCTTGATATAATCAGAAGAAAACTGGTTTTCAAAGATAACCAAAACAAGCAAATAGAAAACCAATCCAAAGAAGGAAGCAAAAATCTCCACCGAAATCACAAAGTGTCGTATATGGAAAACTCACATGAACATCTTGTCACTGGAAACCACGGCAAGAACATGACATCAGAGATATCATACATGCCTGAGCTTCATATGCACTGTTTGCATTCTGTGTGCCAGGCACAGTGGCAGGGACATGGGACATTAGTGATGACTGCCAAGTTCATTGTTTCCATACTCCACAGCGCTCTGCCTAACTCCATGACCTCTCTCTTTTTCCTGAGTTAGCAGACAAGGAATATTTCTAGGAAATACACTGTATCAATGCCAAACACTGAAGCAAATTTAATTCTCTGAAAGCCCTAGTCCACGTCTGGCTTCACTCATAATACAAGAGGGAAAACAATAAATCCCAAATGTCAGTTCATTAGCTCAATTTTATAGCAATATTTGGTTGGCAAGGAAGACAGGAGGAGAGGGAAGAAGCCATTATAAGCAATGATTTTTGAATGAACAAAAATGCTTACTATGCTATTTAGTCCAGTATCTGAGAGGTCAAACATCACGGTTATAGGTTTCCCATTTTCTCTTTTAGCGTAACGTTCCAACCAGAATGCTATGAGCTTCTTTTTGTCCAAAATGGTTTTCTGGTCTTTTATATGATACTTCACTCTGATCCAGACTTAAAGCAGAAAGATAAAAATAAGATCCATGGAATTATAATATTACTCATAATCATATATGAAAGTGTGTGTGTATACACATGTATACCTCTTTTCCCTTGACATGTTTATTCATTTATAATTTATTCTGTTTTTTAGATTAAAGACATCTCTTCCTTCTTTGAAATGAGCAATAGTTATAGTTGGGAAGCCCAAATTACACAGTAGCAGATAAACTATGCTTCTTTCCCTTAGGAAGTAAACAAAGTTCACTTGCAAGTAAGGGGAAAAAGAAAATGCAAGAGAACAAACAAACCTAAAAGTGCTCCTCATTGTGCTTAACTAAAAATCAAGCCACTGGTTCTGTACAGCACCTCGGAGTACAGCACCGGAGTAGACACCCAGGGGCAGGGCAGGCATAGGCAGGTGCCATGACTGTGGGGAGGCAGGGGGAGGGCATGGCAAATTGCTCAGGTGATGGAGTGAAGACATGAAGTGAAGAGTGGTGAGAGAAGCTAAATGCAGACACAGGGGCTGGGGCTGAAGGACGCTGAAGAAAATGCTAGGGTGTTCTGCTTGTCTGTCCTGGGCAACAGCACAGAGTGAAGAGTGGGAGGGCACAGGAGGAAAGCCAGCTGTCTATGACCTGGGAAGAGACTGTGGTGAGGGTGCAGACGTTGAATGTCCCTCATCAGAAATGCCTGGGACCAGAAATGCTTTAGATTTTGGACTTTTTTTAGATTTGGGAATATCTGCATACACATAATGAATTTCATAGACAGCTTATACACATGGCCTGAAGGTAATTTATATAGTATTTTTAGCATACCTGCATTCTGACCATGATGTGTGAACATGAAGTCAGGTGTACAGATTTGGGATTTTAGATTTTTCTGATTAGGATGCTTACCCTGTAGTGGTTAGTGGCTGAACTGAGGAAGCAGCTGGCAACACTGGAATGGGGTCTGATTAAAGCCATATAAGGGGGCTGGCACTGTGGCACAGTAGGTTAAAGCCCTGCTCTGCAGTGCCAGCATCCCATATGGGCACCGGTTCAAGTCCTGGCTGCTTCACTTCCGATCTAGCTCCCTGTTAATGAGCCTGGGAAAGCAGTGGAGGATGGCTAAAGCCCTTGGGTCCCTGCACCCATGTAGGAGACCCAGAGGAAGCTCCTAGCTTCTAGCTTTGGATCAGCTCAGCTCTGGCTGTTGTGGCCATTTGGGGCGTGAACCAGCCGATGGAAGATCTCTCTCCCTACCTCTCTTTTTAACTCGTTCAAATAACTAAAATAAATCTTCAAAAAAAAAAAAGCTATATCAGAGGAAGAGCCAGTGAGTGGGCCTGAGTTGGGACTACAGAAAGAGAGCAAATGGTGGGATGCGGACATTAGTTGGGTGTTGTACTGAAGGTGGCTGACAAATGGTGAGGTGGTACCAGTCGGTAGGTAGCTGGGTAAGTGCACGAGGCCTGGGGATGGTGTGGGGTCATCACTCTGTTGGAAGAGGTAGCTAGAGCTATCAGGGGCTTGGAATCATTCAAGGAGATTGTATCAGTTGGAAAACAAAAGAGGCCAACAAAGGAATGAAGCCTGGGAAACACACATTCTTTAAATGGGCAAAGAACAAAAATGAGAAAAAAAGATTAAGACGAGGAGGCAGCAATATGAGGACAATGCCAAGAGAATATTATTAAAATGCAATACAGGCCACATGCCACGCAGAAGGCAAGCAAGGCGAGTGCAGGACGTCTGTTCAGCAGGAGTGTGGATATGCTTGCCAAGGCCCACCCTCGGTACAAACCAAGCTGAGTTTGCAGCACATGGGAGACAAACACGAGGGAGTCAGCTGAACAGAGATGTCTGTTACTGCTCCCCCCGTTACTGTGCACAGTTCAGAAACAGCTAAGGGGAGCAGATTACAGGAGGCTTGAAAGGAAAAAGCCCACGGAGCAACCTTTAGTGACTGTCCAAGAGATTCTCTATAGAAATACTGAGTTGAATTATAATATTACAATCAGATTAGAAAGATAATGACTGAATTCAATTATCTTGGCCGTGTTACAGGATGCAGCATTCGCTTTTTCTGCCTACTTTATTATAAATACTTGACAACACACCATGAAGATGGCTCTAACCCCAATTGCAAGAGACTCAAATGTTTGCCCATATAGAAAAGTTCCGCGGACTATTCAGTTGAAATAGACACCTTCCTCTCAAAGTCTTGAAAAGCAAGCACATAAATTCGATATACTTACACAATTTGTTACCTTCTTTGTCATAGCCATGGAGATAAATACCACCAATTTCCAGTAACCATCTGGGAATGGAGGATTCAGTAAGATCTATAAGGTGATAAAACTTTGATCACAGACTATAATTTAGGGACCCCAAATTAAAACTCACAATGTAAAGGTAGTACTATGTAGTAGTTCTGGTATTTAAAAAGATATACCCTGTTTACATTTCTGGAAAGAATCTCTGGCAATAATAAATGCGGTTTCCTACTAAGGAAGCAAACTACATAATGACACCAAGGTGAGAGAGAGAGAGAAACTCCATTTCCCTTGACATGTCAGCCATTAATCATATGGACACAGTTCTACACTCTGTTATTCATGTAATGGATCTGAACAAATATTACCACTATGAGACAACTTCAAGAGAACATGCCAGTCAATATCCAAACTATAACCTCAGATTTAGTGAAAACAAATCACTTTAGTTTCTGAAACCAAATGGTATTTTTCTATATAGTTTGCTATCCAGTAGACTCTCATACAGTTTTTAACCTGGGGACAGGTGGAAAAAATACTTGACAAAAAAATGCAAGAAGAACAAAGGGCCTGTCCAGGCTCTGGTGGGGCCTAGGACCAATACAGCAAAGCAGTGAATTCCAAGGCTTTTGTTTCATTTACCAGGGATTCTCTAAGAACTTTCAAAGATGTTATCTTTCTCCACTATTTATTACATCTCTGCTGTCTGCCACCAGAAACTTGCAATTCTATGTAGGAAAACAAGTATTATTGGGTTTAAAAGTTTTCTCTGTACTTAAGTGATTTAAAAATACCAGATTGACATGCCTTTGTCTCGTAAGTTCGTCACTGTCAGTGGAAATTACCTATGGTGTTGTTTGCAATCCCATGTTTCCTTAGGTACTGCCCTACTCGTGGATTTCTTCTAGAAGTATCAAGAATGAGGAGACTATCTGCTCTAGAATTGTTTGTTGACTGTTTTGTATTAAGTCTTAAGACTCAGTTACTCCAACAGTTTGTCATCTCCAAGGCCAGGGAACCTTCCTTTATACCTAACGGAAGTCAGTAGTTAAACCAGTTTCTTGTTACATTCTTAGCTGGAGATAGACACCAGGTAACAAACTCCTCCGTGAAGAGTTCTTCAGACACTTGAAGACCATTGTAAAACTCCAAGATTAAAAACTCCCATTTGGGGGGAAAATTTCAAACTAGTAGTAGACCTAGAAATTAAGGGAGAAGTCTGTCACAGGCACCTTTGGGGACAGGCTGGCTTTTCTGGGACCCTCGATTCATTCAGCAAATCACTATGGAACATCTATCGGGACAAAGGACAAAAGACAGACAAAGACACCGGCACATAAGAAAACAGCATCTCCTTATTTCTGGTGTAGTAGTGAAGATGTTGTCTTGTTATGGTGTAATGGCACTGAACGAAACACAGAGCAGGACGCTCTGCTGAGAGGGAAGGATCTGAGTGTGATTCTACTCCCTGCTGATCTCGTTCCCTTAAGAATGTTCCCACTTATAAGACTTATCCATAAGCTATTCCTTTGAAGTATTATTGGTGTCTATGAATCTATACAAACACACAAGCAGGTAAGTAGAAAACAATGCCCTTCAGGGCATTTAATGTAACCTGTCAAGGTTACATTAAACCACTTACCGTTGACACAGATTTCCTTCCTCCATTGAAAACTCTCATCAAGCATCTTCAGTGTTTCCTCTACAACATTATGTCTCCAAGACAAGTAGCTTTCAACCCAGTTATCATCTTGCTGTAGCCTTTCAACATCACGTGGGTCATATTTATCTGACTTTTCTAGGGAAAAAGCAGTTATAAATATCCAAGTCAGATAGATTGTGCAGTGAAAAATAACAAAAACTAATGCTAACAAAGAAAAGACCAGGAAGAGAGCTTAGCTATTGGAGGACAGACACAGGGATGTCACTCAGAAGAAAATGCAATGTAAAGGATTGATGTAATTTATTTTTTTTAAGATTTTATTTATTTATTTGAGAGGTAGAGTTACAGAGAAAGGGAAAAACAGAGAGAAAGGTCTTCCATCTGCTGGTTCTCTCTTCAAATGGCTGCAACAGCTGGAACTGGGCTGATCCGAAGCCAGGAGCCAGGAGCTTCTTCTGGGTCTCCCACGCGGGTGCAGGGCCCAAGCACTTGGGCCATCTCCCACTGCTTTCCCAGGCCACAGCAGAGAGCTGGATTGGAAGTGGAGCAGCTGGGACATGAACTGGTACCCATAAGGGATGCCTGCACTGCAGGCAGAGGCTTAACCTTCTATGCCACAGCACCAACCCAGTATATTGGTAGAATTTCTAAATGTGAGAATAAAGTTATCTAAAGGTTGTAGGTTTATTTTAAGTAAGATACTGTAGATGTAAAAATATTAGACCACAGTAAAATTATTTGGCACAATCCACTCTAAAACTATAAACCAACATCTGGGAAGATCAATGATGCTATGTAAACTTGAATTCTTAATCTAGTCAATGGAAAATGAAGGAATTTTATATATATATAAGTAACTAAAATTATACCTAATAAACATGTTTGACAAGTGTCATTAAAATATAAACTAAATATAAAATGGAAAGCCAACCACCTTTGTAACTTATGTCAGACTCTGCAGCCAACATTTCCAGTAATTTATTGGAACAAACAATAACAATGATTTTTCAGCATCCAATCAAGCACATGCTATATTGCTACTAACCTCTACACCACACAGCCTTCTTTCTGTAGTGTTCTCACTACTCTTCTGTAGCTGAACTCTGCACATCCAAATCCAAATTCTATGGTTTTGCAAGACTCCTTCCAAATCCTTCCGCTTCCATAAAATTTTCCATGTCCAGATACAGTGACTTCCTTTCTGTGGACAGCTATGGGACTTACACTAAGCTTTGCTCCAGGCTCTTACCACTCTTTTATCTTGAAGTAGAGTTACTGGCATGCATGCCACGGTTCCCAAGAGACAACAAATAGAGTCTATATATCCTAAGAATACCCCAAATCAAAGGACAGCAGTGGCAACAAAGAGGACTTCAGTAAACATTTGCAACGGAATTCATCCTTTCTCATTTTTTTTCCCTCAGTTAGCCATACCCTCTCAAGGATCCAAGCAAAACACTTGGGAAAATTCCCTGGCGCCTTCATTTCCTTTTCTTTTGTGTGTCATTAGTTGCCAAGTTTTATAGATTCTATCTCCTCTCCTTCTGCACTGCCTTGTTTCAGGTCCTCAGAGATAATAGCTGAAAGGGCAGGGAAGTATCAAGTGCACTCAGGGAACTATCTTCCTTAAGTCTCAATTTCGTTATCTTTAAGCTGTTTTATACACTTACAGTGCTGTGTGAAGATCAGATGAAAAAGTATATATGAAAGCACTTAGAAATTTAAAGCACAATAAAATATAAGACGAGACCATAAATCATGCCTTTGTAGTGTTACCCTGGATATGGCTTTTAATATGTAGGCTCTATTTTTCTAAACTATATCATGAATGGTTCTGTAGAAGGTAAAGCTTAGAAGAATGTGTGTTTTTTTTTGCTCTGCTATTTGAAAATTCATCAGTATTCAAAGCATAATTTTTAAATTGTAAATGGCACCTACAAGCATGAATTAGACACATAAAAGCTCTCATTGTTTGCTATTGAGATGGCCCCCTGGAGAATCACTATCCAGGTGGGGCACTGGACCAACAAGGTGTTTGCCCTGAAACTACAGACTGACTTCATCCATTTTCAAGAACATTTCTGCGAAGCACCAGCGTTCGCAAAAAGCAGTTTATTTACCATTCTTTCACATAAAAATGGTGGTCTATGAAAAGGGACTAATTCAGTTAGCAACTCAAACATTCTTAGCATGCTGAAGTGTGTCATGTGTACTTCCTCACTTTGTCACACATGACATTACAAGGACATGTACTCGGCTGGCGCCGTGGCTCACTTGGTTAATCCTCCGCCTGTGGCGCTGGCATCCCATATGGGCACTGGGTTCTAGTCTCGGTTGTTCCTCTTCCAGTCCTGCTCTCTGCTGTGGCCCGGGAGGGCAGTGGAGGATGGCCTAAGTGCTTGGGCCCCTGAACCCATGTGGGAGACCAGGAGGAAGCACCTGGCTCCTGGCTTCGGATCAGCACAGCACCGGCCGTGGCAGCCATTTGGGGGGTGAACCAACGGAAGGAAGACCTTTCTCTCTGTCTCTCTCTCTCATTGTCTATAACTCTACCTGTCAAATAATTTTTTTAAAAAAGGACATGTACTCAAAGGTCAAGGGTTAATACAACTGTCTACTTCACTAGAGATTTATTAAAATAAAATTGGCTTTTTTGTTGTTTACTGAGAATGCTAACAGTGAAGACCTTGAACTGGGCCATGGAGCCAGCAGCTTTACCCACAGTGCTTCCAGGGAGTCAGTGCAAATGTCAACATAGTGAAAAAGGTAAATGGTATTTAGAATTATTTGACCTTACAGGCTTCTGAAAGTGTCCTGAGCACTCCCTAGGGTCCCTAGACTACACTCTGAATACCATTTACTTGAAACAATATTTGGCAAGTAGTTAAAAACTCAGTAAATATGAGCCATGAGAAGAATAAAACATTATTGTTGTTATCATTACTACTACCATTGCTAGTACTACCACTAGGGATAGTATAAATAAGACAGTGTTCTATTAATAAGAGATTTAAAGCCCACTTGTCTTTGATAGTTTTCAGGGATGCAGATCTTTGAAATCACAAATTTCCATTTATATTAAAGTGATAAATTATTATAAATAGATGCATATTTGCATATGAAGTGCTGGTTGTTAAACATTTAATCCTAGAAAAACAAATGGAATCAGAGGGGGAAAAAGAAAAGAGAAGGGGAAGATTGGAAAGGTGTTAGGTGAGAGAGGCAGGAGAAAAGTGGAGGCAAGATGGACAGAGGACCAGGAGGCTGAGGCAACAGGGGAAGGAGGATAGACAGAATGAGACAGAGAGATGAGGAAAGGCAGGCAGAGAAGAGAGAAAATAAACTGAGCATTCAAGGTAAGAAAAACAGGACCTGGGACCACAAGGCCAAGGATGATAATTAACTGTGCTTATGACAACATAATTTGCTACTTCCAAACACAGCTCTCGGAAAACAGTTCTCAGATGATTTTGAGTTTCCCGAAAACCAGTCCTTTGGTAAATCCAGACGTGCTGTGGTTTGAATGTGTGCCTCTAAAATTCCGGGGATGTCAGTGTGATAGTATTAAGAGGTGGGGCCTCTTATAGCTGACTACACTATAAGAGCTGCTCCTTTAGTAATAATATGAAAACCCTTATAAAAGAGCTTCGCATGCTAGCTAACTTGTCCTTCCACCTCTGCCACGTAAGGACACAGCAAGAAGATAATCACCACATACCATTTTTTTGGTGGGGAGGGGGGAAGGGGACACCAAAATAAACTTATTTTTGAGTTTCATTTTCCCATGAACTTTCTGAAGTACCCTTGTATAATGAGACTGCGCATGTCACTCTGGGTCTTGTTTTCTTCTCTGTCCAATGGAAATAAGGACTACCTGTGCAGAGTCTTGAGATCAAGAACACTGCAAATTACAATCACTACACAAATGACTTTCTATAAATATTAGAATGTTAACCATGAGGGGCCAGCATTGTGGTGCGGCAGCTTAATTTTCTGTCTTGACCCCAGCAACCCAGACATTCCGTATGAGTCCTGGCTGCTCCACCTCCGATCCAGCTCCCTGCTAATGTGCTTGGGAAATCAATGGGAAGTGGTCCAAGTGCTTGGGGCCTTGCCACCCACGTGGAAGACCCAGATAAAGTTCTTAGCTTTGTTCAGCATGCCCCAGCCCTGGCTATTGTGGCCATTTGTGGAGTGAATCAGTGGATGGGACATCTCTCTCTGTAACTCTGTGTTTCAAACATGAATGGAAGACTATATTCTAACTTACCTATTAAGTAAATTAAGTAGTTAAGAGAATCTTGAAAGTACGCTACGGTTGAAAACACAAAAGTATTCTGATAACGAGAACCAGAGAACATTTATTAACTGGGGAATCATAATGTCTCAAAGCTGCAAACACCGCTCCAGATCATTATCGTGGTGTAAAACAACTTAGGATTTCTCATTTCTCCACGACTCTGAACATGAACCCACTGCAAAGTCCTGGTATGGCCTTGGAAGAGCATTTGTATTGGACAAACTACTTCATTACTTGGCCTGTGCAAATGTTAATAAGGGAAGGGATGAGGCCAAAGTAACAAAATATTCCCTCAAGAGCATGCTCTGCTCATTGGTCACAACCTCCCCTGAATCTCTGCTTTCCTGTGAAGCTACCTGTGAGACTGACACGTGAGGAATCTTGTATGAGGGGATGAAGCCAGGGGCCCACAGCAGCAATTTCAGAGTCACCACAAGGCATCGCGGAGACCCCAGTCCTGGAGTGTCTCATTCTGGATGGGATCCAAGACTCGGCATTTGTAACCAGTTTCTATGTGATGCTGGTACTGCTACTCTAGGGACTATCACTTGAGAATCAGTGGAATACTTCAGGGGTTAGAAAACTTTTTCTGTAGAGGGCCACATGGTAGACATCTGAGTATCTTAGCCCTTGAGGGCCTGGTGCGTCCTCTGTTGCTGATTCTTTGTGTGTGCATGCATGTGCGCCTGAAACAACCCTTTACAAGTATCAAACACGTTTTCAGCTCTAGGGCCACACACAAATAACACTGTTGATCTCTGCTCTGTGGGATAGAGGGGAGTGTTTCGTGCTTCAGCAGCTATCCTTCAAGAGCTAGATTGCTTAGCAGACTTGAGCAAGAACAGCTAAGCTTTCAATACCATTCTGCAGGCCTGCATTGGTCACTGGCCAGTTATGCAGAGTAAGTCAAGAACCTCAGTCGTCCATTCTGGACTCTGCCACCTGACTGGGTCATGGGCACACTACCCACAATCTTTTGCTTGGCTCTTCTTGGTCAAACGGAAGATTTTGAGGCCAGTTTCATCAAAAGACATATGCTAATAGTGTTCTTGAGAAAGTAGTAATCATTTTGAGCAAACAGCTCAATGGCAAGGCCCTATAAGACGTGGAGGGGGGTGCATAAGGAGAAGTGGGACCACTGTCTCCTCCACTAAGCTCCATGAGGTCAGGGACTTTGAAACTTCACCTTCCTCTGCACAATACCTCCCCTAACCCCACACACCCACACACCCATACACACACACTCTACCTAGACACAGTACGTGCACACTAAATCTCTGTTACTGAATGATTAACCCCGTATGAGTCTGTCTCTCAGTAGACCTGGAGTTTCCTGAGGGCCCAGAACTTCCATCATGGATTGTTTGTATTTTTCCTCTCATTATGAAAAGTTAAAAATATACAGAGCAGAGGGCCGGCGCTGCGGCTCACTAGGCTAATCCTCCGCCTTGCGGCGCCGGCACACCGGGGGGTTCTAGTCCCGGTCGGGGCGCCAGATTCTGTCCCGGTTGCCCCTCTTCCAGGCCAGCTCTCTGCTGTGGCCAGGGAGTGCAGTGGAGGATGGCCCAAGTGCTTGGGCCCTGCACCCCATGGGAGACCAGGAGAAGCACCTGGCTCCTGGCTCCTGCCATCGGATCAGCGCGGTGCGCCGGCCGTGGCAGCCATTGGAGGGTGAACCAACGGCAAAGGAAGACCTTTCTCTCTGTCTCTCTCTCTCACTGTCCACTCTGCCTGTCAAAAAAAAATATATATATATAAAGACAAGAGTTTTATAGATCAAGCTGAAGTTTCTCTTCATCCTCCCATAACAGTCTTGGATCATAAGATTATTAGGCACTTTAGGGATTTCTGTGTTGCCCGTATTAGCCTATGACAAGACATGTTTTCCTGTCACATTGGTAACTAAGTTATCTGATACAGATTTATAGGAACAGCAGTAAAGATCATTGTCTTTTTCCTGACTTTGAGAATTACTCTAAAATTTCACAATGAGGATATTTACTTCAGGCTTTTCGGAAGATAGCTTTAAAGATTTTGTAATTTCCATTGTATTATCCTCTTTAACCTATGGGTTATTTAGCAGAAGAATTACAAATATTGCCAGAAAGTTGTTAATCCATGGGTTATTTAGAGGTGTGTTATTTTAGTTCCCAAACATTTGATTTTTTACATTAGTTTTATATCTATTTATTGTGACTTGTAATATAGTTGTTAAATGGTGTGAGAAGATGCCGTACGATCTAGTTTCTTTGAAATTTTCTTAGACTTCCTTTATGAGTTATTATGTGGTCAGTGCTTGCAAAAGCTCCAAAAGTACAAATACATATTGTCTACATGTTGGGTAGGAAAGTCTCCCCCCCCCCCACCATCATGTTTGCTCATTGTGGTTTTAACATCCTCCCAAATCTTAAGGATTTCTTGCATGCTTGTTCTGTGTATTTTTGAAAGAGGCCTGCTGTTAAAATTATTTAACATGTTTGTGGATTTCTTGAGCTTCCTTTCTAACTCTGGGAGCTACTGCTTTAGGTATTTAAGTCTATATTGTTAGGTAGTTTTTTTATGTTATTAGTTCTTAATTACTATACCTATTAAGGGTTCCTTTTTTGGCCTAAATAATATTTTGTCTAATGAAAGTACTGCCAACACAGGATTACTTTTGGTTAATATTGTTTTGTATACCTATTTCCAACCTTTCTATCTTAATTTATTTCAGAGTAGTCTCCTGTAGGCTACATGCCATTATGATTTCTAAAATCTATTCTGACAGTTAATAATGTATAAATCTGTGTATATTTGTAGTCACTACTGGTAAAACTGGGATTATTTTTGTTGTCTTCCTCTGTGTTTTCTAATTCTTTCTTTTTTCTTTCTTTCTTGCTTCTTGGTATTAGAGATTGCTTTTTCATCATTTCTCATTTCTCTACTAGTTGGGAAATTAAACATTTTATTTTTATCAATTGGTTATCTTTATTTTAAATTTTCACATTTCAAACAACAAAATCGTGGGGGCCAGTGTCATGGTGCTGTGGGTTAGACTGCTGCTTGCAAGGCCGGCATCCTATATGTGATGTCCTGGCCAGTTTGAGTTCTGCTTCTCTGTTTTTTTGATCCAGCTGCCTGCTAATGTGCCTGAGAGGCATCAGATGATGGCCCAAATACCTCGGTCCGTGCCACCCACATGGGAGACCTAGATGAAGCTCAGAACTCTTGGCTTTGGCCTGGACCAGCCCTGGCCCTTGCAGCCCTTTGGGAAGTGGGTCAGCAGATGGAAGATCTGTTTCTATCTGCCTGTCCAGCCCCCAGCTCCCCCACACCCACTGCCCTACATTTCAAATAAATTAACAAAGAAATTTTATTTTTTATTTTTTTATTTGACAGGTAGAATTAGACAGTGAGAGAGAGAGACAGAGAAAGGTCTTCCTTCCGTTGGTTCACCCCTCAAATGACTGCTACAGCCGGCACTGCGCTGATCCAAAGCCAGGAGCCAGGTGCTTCCTCCTGGTCTCCCAATGCGGGTGCAGGGCCCAAGCACTTGGGCCATCCTCCACTGCCTTCCCAGGCCACAGCAGAGAGCTGGACTGGAAGAGGAGCAACCGGGTCTAGAACCCAGTGCCCATATGGGATACTGGCGCCATAGGCAGAGGATTAACCAAGTGAGCCACGGTGCCAGCCCCAACAAATAAATTAAAAAAAAAAAAAACAATAAAATCTAAAAAGTAATGTCTATTTTCACTCTGGACAAGTACATGTAATATTTTCCTTTCACTTCCTCCATTCTTATTTACTACTATCAACATTTATTTTTCTCTTTATTAATTTGCTCACCTGTTTCTTTGCTCTTCATTGCTTCCTGTGTCCCTCTTCTTCCTTCTGCATTCTATTTGGTATAGGCTTTTCCCTAAATCAGCAAGGGACTGCCAACTGAAACACTTTAACCTTTACTTTTAATATATATTGTAAGTGGGCTGTTACTTCCCTGAGCGCTTTCAGAATACCACTTCATTGTTGCTTGGCATCACTATTACACGAGAAACCAAGTATTAGTATCATTTTTGGTCCTTTGTGGACACTCTGCAATTTCTCTCTGTTTGCAAGGCTTTCTCTTTGTCCTTCATGTTTTCATGATATATTTATGAGATTCATTTCTTTTTCCTTATCATGCTCAGATTGTTATGCTTCTTTAATTTTATGATTTGACGCGTTTTCTCAGTTTTGCCACGTTTTAATAGTAGGATTTTTAAGGGATGATTATTTTAGGTCTCATCAGCAACATCAAACAGTACTGAGTGCTCCGCAGGCTACAGAGCGCTGCCAAGCACCTAGGGAAGTGTGTGTGACATGCAGGAAACATGGTTCTTGCTCCTTGAAGAGCTTACAGTTTGGGGATTTGACAAAAGGAATTCCTTAAGGCAACTTCTTCATCCTCTAGCCCTACTTTGGACTGAATTACTTGAGAATCTGGAAATTAATCCAATCAAGATGAGAGACAAGACTAAATTTGGTTGAGAATTCTTTCTGGCTCATATAGTTTTTATTAATATCCAATTAATAAACAGAACTGACCTAACGGACAACTGAAAGTAAAGACTAGCTCTTGAAGTGCAAAGGCTAAAACACCTTAATTGTGATTACTTATTTCAAAAAGCAAACATATTGGCATGACTAGGGTTATTACACTAGTTTAAAAATAGGCCAAGTACTGAAATTGCATTCCCTTATGCATTGTTCATTAAAATAGTGAATATTAAAAAACACGGGTTCTACATCTAACCCACCGAGAGCCCATCACAAATTTTAATGTTCTGTGTATCAAATATCTACCTCATGTGTACTATGAAAATTTTATTTGTGCCCCATTAAGTCAAAAGTAATGTAAATAGAAGCTGGCGCCGCGGCTCACTAGGCTAATCCTCCGCCTTGCAGCGCCGGCACACCGGGTTCTAGTCCCGGTCGGGGCGCCGGATTCTGTCCCGGTTGCTCCTCTTCCAGGCCAGCTCTCTGCTGTGGCCAGGGAGTGCAGTGGAGGATGGCCCAGGTGCTTGGGCCCTGCACCCCATGGGAGACCAGGAGAAGCACCTGGCTCTTGCCATCGGATCAGCGTGGTGTGCCGGCCGCAGTGCGCCAGCCGCGGTGGCCATTGGAGGGTGAACCAACGGCAAAAGGAAGACCTTTCTCTCTGTCTCTCTCTCTCTCTCACTGTCCACTCTGCCTGCCAAAAAATAAAAAAAAAATAAAAAAAAAAAGTAATGTAAATAGTCAAATTATAATAAGCTAATGACCTGCATATTCCCATATGGATGAATTCCAATATATCTAAGTAGGAAATAAATGGCAATCCTATCTACCTATGTTAAAAAAATAGAATATCTTTCCATATTTTGCATACTCATCACTATAAGAAGAGCTGTGCAGGTTTTAAGGTTTCACAATCAGTTGTCAGAAAAATAGTAGCTGTTCCCGCAATATCTTGTTAGCATCTGACTCAACTATTTTTAGATTACATGATTTGGAAGACATTGTGAACCATCTAAAAATCTGTAATTCTGAGATGGTTCCAATGTTAACCCTAGAATCATTATCAGAAAGAATAACAACATGATACAGAAGAACAGCTAATCAACATGATTAAAAGTATGCTCACTTTCAGAAAAATAATCTGGTCATCTGGAAAAACGCACATCTACAGCCTGGGGAACACTCCCACACGGGATTCTGATCTGGCCAAGGCACACTATTTCTAAGCAAGAAAATGATCAGATCAGGGTGAATGTAGGCAACCCCAAAGGAGCAGCCTATCTTTTCCAGACACACCTTCTTAGGCAGCATAACTGGTCCATTTTCTCTTAAAGTATCTGATACTATTCTACCCACCTCAACCCAAAGTTTGAAGTTAACTCAAACCAAAAGAGCATACTGGAGCAAAAGTGAACAGATATGTATGTAAACTCTAGCACATTCTTATTGCTGTATTAAGTTTGAAGATGAGCAAATCTACCCACAGCAGTATTTTTCCAGGAAGCAGGGTAGGAGTAGTGCTAACTTAGAAAACAACTATGAATTGCACAATAGAAAAGTAAAAATATGTTTTAAAATCTACAATAAACCTGTATCCAAAGGAGTCTTTTACATCAATGATGTGCTAGACTCTGAATTCTGTGGTACAGCTTGCAATGGACTCCCTCTGGCCTGCTGGCACAAGTACAGCTTGCTTTCTGCCTTCTGATGGGTGAATATGCTACACAGAGCTGTGATGGTTTCTAACAAGTGGCAAAATTCACAGAAGTTCCAGGTTATTCATGTCAGGATTGTTCCTTGTGCAAAGTTTGATATGGACGAAGATAAAGTGGTTTCTTGGTTAATAATTGCAATTTCTTTCTTTTAAAGTCAGTGGGTTTCTTGTATAGCTCTATTACAATTGGCCCAGGCTTAATTTCATCCATATCCATGAAAGCAAAACACTTGGTGCTGGTAAACCATTTTTTAGGCTTGCATTGTTTGAATTCAAAGAAGACAGCTGCACCTTTGGTTAATTTTTCAACATGCTTCTGGAGCTCAACGTCCACATTAAAGTGAACATATGTATCTTCTGTTTGTGAAGCCACGGGAGTATGCTGCACAGGAGTTAACTCCATGCCATTCGGATCCTTCACACTAACTCTAACACAGGGATCGATGCACTGCCCAGCATCTTTCAGACCTCTCTTCTCAATTCTGAGTGTGGGTAATGTCATTCCTGGGTCTGAGTGTGGGTAATGTCATTCCTGGGTCTGAGGGCAACCTCGGGAATACGGTACCAGGAACTCTGGCAGGAGAAGAATCAGGAGACCCTGTTCCAGCACCACCCTCTTCTTCAAATTCCAAACTCTCGTCTTTACCAAGTGCTGAAATTCTTCTTAATGCGACAGGCTGAACATCAAACGGGAACTCTTTACTATATGTAAGAATATTCTTTAGGATCGGTTCTAGCTTCTTCAGGGCCTCCAGTTTAAATTCTTCTTGGGACTGTGTGGACTGTAAAGCTGCACTTCGCAATTCCAAGCATGTTGCAATTTTGCCTATGGTTTTATTTGGTTCTTTAGTAAATTTGAAATTATTGTGTGGAGCTTGGGCTTCTTTGTGTAGATGTCTTGCTAACATCTGATACTCATCTATCACCTCCAGCAGCTGGCCCCAAGAGTCGAAGTCACCGCCTCTCCTAAAACCAGTGCCCCAGTGCTGCAGCAGACTCGGGGTCACCTCTGACATGGCTGGGAGCCAGCCCTAGAAAGGCCTGGCTTTAGGTGCCATCCTCCCCTTGGCCTGGCCCTGACATTAACAGGGCCAGGAGGAACCATTACCACCACCACCGCCACCCAAGCCCATTTGCGCAATTTGATGCTTTTTTATAAACTCTGGGTAACTGTCAACTATTATCTCCTTTAGTAATATGGTCTCTGTTTTTCCCTCCTGGAAGTTGTATTAAATGTATATGGGGTTTCTCATGTCTTTTACTTTCTATTATATATATTTACCCAGTTTTTTCTCCAGTGACGTGAGTATAGAGTTAAGTACCTGTACAAAACTTTTTTTTAAATTTTACTTTATTATTTTTTTTGACAGGCAGAGTGGACAATGAGAGAGACAGGTCTTCCTTTTCTGTTGGTTCACCCTGCAATGGCCGCTGTGGCTGGCGCACTGCGCTGATCTGAAGCCAGAAGCCAGGTGCTTCTCCTGGTCTCCCACGGGGTGCAGGGCCCAAGCACTTGGGCCATCCTTCACTGCACTCCCGGGCCACAGCAGAGAGCTGGCCTGGAAGAGGGGCAACCGGGACAGAATCCGGCGCCCCGACCGGGACTAGAACCGGGGTGCAGGCGCCGCAGGTGGAGGATTAGCCTATTGAGCCGCGGCACCGGCCCTGTACAAAATTTAAAAGTTGTCTATGAATATCTTATGTCAGTTGTGAGTATATAGCAGTTTCAGGGGGAAAGTGCCTACAAATAATAGGCCAACCGTGAAGTACAATGTAATAAACATTAAAAAAAAAAGTGCTGTGGTATTGCCAGTTAAGCGGCTGCCTGCAGTGCCAGCATCCCATGTGGGTGCTGGTTCAAGTCCCAGCTGCTCCACTTCCAATACAGCTCTCTGCTATGGTCTGGGAAAATAGTAGTAGATGGCCCAAGTCCCTGGGTCCCTGCACCCACATGGGATACCTGGAAGAAGCTCCTGGCTTCTGGCATTGAATTGGCACAGCCCCGGCCATTGCAGCCAATTGGGGAGTGAACCAGTGGATGGAAGACCTCTCTCTCTCTCTCTCTCTGCCTCTCCTTCTGTCTCTGTGTAACTCTTTCAAATAAATAAATAAATTTTTAAAAAACTTCAAAAAGTTGGTGGAAAACACATCATTTTTTAATCCCATTCTCCATGAACTTTGTTGAAGCTTCCTTACATAAACCCAATCTCTACAGTCAACATAAATTCAGCTGAAAATAGCTTTGACAAAATGTAGCAAATTTTTGGTCCTCTTTGCAAAAGCAGTTATAGAGCTATGATCTATTCAATCTCTCAGAGATATTGGTATCCTAGAAATGATAACAGTATTCTTGTAACAGACTTGCAACAGTGAGTTGCCTCTCACTAAACATTCAGAATGAGGATACAGGAAGAATAAGTATCAGTAGCTTAAAGTGATAAGTTATAATAAACAGCAAACAAAGACTATTTGCCACGCACTGAAAAACAGTTATTGCTAAGAATAAAGATTCAAAAATAAACAAGTCTAGTGGAGGTGTTTGGCCTAGCTGTGAAGACACCTGTGTCCCACACTGGTGTGCCTGCTTTATTTCCAGGCCCTGGCTCCTGACCCCAGCTTCTTGTTGGTGCACACTCTGGGAGGCAGAGGGGATGGCTCATGTGATTGGGTTCTTGCCCCCAATCCAGGGAGACCTGGACTGAGTTCCTGGCTTCTGGACATCTGGGGAGTACAGCAGTGGATGGAAGCCCTTGCCCAAGCTCTCTCTCTCTCTCCCTCCCCTCTCTATCTCTCTATGTATGTGATCTCACCACAAAATGTTAAGTAATATCAGATAAAAGCAAAAACTTCTACACTCTTATTAAGTTTTAATTGACAAATAAAACCTGTACACCTCCATGGAGTGAATGATATTTTTGCATTGTGGAATGGCTAAATCAAGCCAATTAACATTTACATTGGGTGATATTAGTTAACATTTTGTGGTGAGATCACTTAACTCTCTTAGCTATTTTCAAGTAATATAAAATATTACTAACTACAGTTACCATGTTGTACAATAGATCTCTTGAATTTATTATTCTTAGCTAGATGAAATTTTGGACCCTTTGACCAATATCTCCCCAGTCTCCCCTCTCCCTTCAGCCCCAGGCAAACACCATTCTACCCTGCTTCCATGAGTTTGACTAGTTTAGATTCCTCACATAAGTGGTATCACACAATGTTTGTCCTTCTGTGTCTGGTTTATTTCAGTTAGCACAACGTCCTCCAGGTTCATCTGTGTTGTTGCAAATGACAGGATTTCCTTCTTGTTAAAAGGCTGAATAGTATTCTATTGTGTATTTATGGCACATTATCTTTATCCATTCATCTAATAACTCTTTTAAGATCTTTCTATTTTATTCCCATCATGACCTCTTTAAAAAGGTTAACCTTGAGAATGTTAAAGATGGAGCAGAATTTTAAAAAAATCCAAGTGTCTGCCAATCTTTTAAAGGCTTTCTCCTTTGGGGACAATAACAATTCATTAGTTATGAAGACTAATTTGTGATCACCCACCACATGCTACCCAAAAGAGAGCTAGGTATTACAGATGCAGATAAGTGAAACAGGAGCTGTTCCCTTGTGGGGGGTTTCATAATCTAGACATTCATGCAAATTACCAAACTGTACAGTTACAATTTACATGTCATTTTCCTTCTACTCTTTTTTCCGGAGAGCACAGCTGATAAGGAGAATACCTGTTCTCTGTGCCGGTACTACAGGGTCCCTTTTATTCACTGCTCATCTAGTCCTTGAGCGTTTCCTTTCCTATCATCTACACTACTACACCTCTCTGGTTCTCCTACTTCTATAGCCATATTGTCTCCTTCGGCCTAACAAAATGAAACATTCCTCAAAGTTAACTGCCTAACAAACGAAACACCAAGGACAAAATAAAGACATTTTCACAACTAAGAAAGTTTGTCACCAATAGAGCTCGCCACGGGAAATCTAAACGTTATATTTGAGATGAAGCGATAATGATTCTAGATACAAGATCTGAAACTCCAGAGGGAATGGCAAAGAAAAATATTACTAAATATATGCTAAGTAAACAGACAATGATATAGAAAATAACAGTAATAAATTGGTAGTGTGGTGAGGATGAATTTGTGGAATCAAGTTAAACAATGAATGTATCTTCTAGGGAATAGGAAAGAGGAAACAAGTCTACGTTTATCAAGTTTATGTAATCTTGATGTTAATATTGCACAAGAAAAATACAAAAAAGGAAAATTATAGGCTCATTCAAGAATACAGATGCAAACTTCTTAAACAAATGGAGTCTGGCAATTTACTTTTAAAAACCTGATCAGTATATTCTACTTTATAAACAGGTTAAAGGAGAAAAACCAAATGAAACTTTTATCAGATATAATAAATGTACATACAGATGAAGAAACTGCATTTAGTAAAATTCAACTACTAATCATGATGGAAACAAAATCATAAGGGAAAAACTCCACAAATCAGCAAACTAGGAATAGAAGGAAACTTTTTCAATTTGAAAAAAGACATCTAGAAAGTTCATACTTAATGATGACATGTTCAGAACTCTCTTTCTATGATCTATTCAACAATATTCAAAAGGTTCCAATTGGTGTATATGGTAAAAATACCAAAAATATACAAATTAAAAAGTTTGAAAGAAAACAGTGTTTCACAGTGATTTTATAATTTACATAGAAATGCCAAACTAATATAGTGATAAATTATTAGAATTAATGAGTAATAAGATATCTGAATTCAATATTATTATACAAATATTGCATATTTTCCATAAATCAATAAACACATTTTAGACAATAAATTTTAAGATATAATCTTTACATAACAATGTAAAACTAAAACATGACCAACACTTGGGAATAAATACAACAAAAGAAGGGTTAATTATTGTAGACAAAGTATACATCTTTCAACAAGAAAGACTGTAGCAGATACACACATACACAAACACATAAATATACCAGGTTCTTGGATAGGAAGACTGACTCTGATATCAACTTTCTTATTTTTAGATTTAAAAAAAATTATTTGAAAGGCAGAGTTACAGAGAGAGAAGTCAGAGAGACAGACATACAGACATACAGACAGATATATCAATCTTCCATCTGCTGGTTCACTCCCCAGATGGCTACAATGGCTGGGGCTGGGCCAGGCAGAAGCTAGGTCCCATGGGTGCAGTGGCCCATATACTTGGGCTATCCTCTGCTGCTTTCTCAGGCCATTAGCAGGGAGTTGGATTGGAAGTGGAGCAGCTGGAACTCCAACAAGCGCCTACATGGGATGCTGACATCATAGGCAGAGGGTTAACCTGCTACACCACAACACCGGCCCCTGATGTCAACTTTCCTAAAACTGATTTCATGATTTTAACACAATTCCACTCAAAATCCTAACCAAAAAGATTCTTTGTAGAAATATGTTATATTGTTTCTAAAATTTAAATGAAGAACAGGGAGGCCAACAAGAGTGTGAAGAGTGATTTTCATAGAAGCAGAAACCAAATGGCCTATAAAAATACGAAACAAGGTACTCAAACTCACTGTTACTCAAAGAAATGTAAATTCAATCCAAAATGAGATATCCCAGAACCCCAATAAGATGAACAAAAAATATTCCTTCCCAAAATCCTATAGTGCCAAATTTTAGGATGTGCGAAAACAAGGATACACAAATACTGCTGGTTAAAATGAAAACTGGTACAATCACTTTAGGAAACAGTTCAGAATTAACTAGTCCAGGGAACATATGTCTGTTCTACAACCTCCCCGTTTCACTGTTGGGTACAAACACTAGAGCAGAAGTTCTCAAAATTTTTGGTCTCAGGACCCCTGAAAAGCTTTTCCATTACATGGATTATACTTATTGATAGTTAATGTATTAGGTATTAAAATTGAGAAAGAATTTAAACATGAGAACACACAAGTACACATTCTATCAGCTGTCAAAGCAATGACATCACCACCTGCCATGTAGCCCCTGGAAAACCTTGCTGGATGCTTGTGAGAGAAATGAGAGAAAAAGGATAATGATGCTTAGTATTCTTATGAAAATACTTTGACCTCTCAAACTCCTTGAAATGATTCTTAAAAATACTGCCCTAGAGAAATTCTTGCATGTGGGTGCCAGACATTGTAAGAGTTCACAATAGCACTGTATGTGATACAGAAACCTAGATACAACCTCAGTTGGTACATTCATTCTATGAACTACAATACAGCCATATAAAGAATGGATTACACTTATTATACAAGTACTTGATAATATGAATGAATTTTGAGCAATATCATTAAATCATAGACAAATATATTCAGCTTTTATACGAAGCTCAGACAGAAGCAAAACCCAGGAAAGCACTGGTGGAGAGTCCATCATATGTGGAAAAACTAATGAAAACCAAGAGGATGAGTAACGCCAAATGCAGAAGCCTACTGGCCCCCGAATGACAAGGATGGGGGAACGCAGGAGGCTTTTAGGGGACTGACAGGTTCTTGTGTCTTGGTTGAGTCAACAGTACATGAGTGTTTACTTTATTCGTGTTTTATATAGTCTGCACATAAAAAATTAGAAAACAATACGCCAAACCAAACGAAAATTAAAAGACTAGAGAAAGTCTTTGGGTGAGAAAAAATTACTTAATGGTAAGTTAGAAACCACGAAGGAATGAGTAAAAGTGATATAAACAAGAAAAGCCCATAGCAGTATCTAAAAAGCCAAACTAATGAAAAAAAAAAGCTTCAATTACAAATGGACGTGGAGCTATGAGAAGTTTATCCTTATTAGCACTCAAATGTAAACTAAAACAAAGGACTGCCAATTAAGGAATGATGAAAGTAAATATGGATAAGGGGAGACTAACTCTCTTATAGGCTGGTTGGAAGGAATGTTACTGCAACATCTATGGAAGAACTTTAGCACATATTATTACACATCTTAAAATTAGTCACACTATTGAAACCAATAATTCAATTTCTACACATGAATCTTGAGGAAATAATCTTAAGTGCTGCACAAAAAATTGTAGTAACAAAAAACTACAATAAATCTAGATATCTAAAAAGGGACTATCCTAAGAAAAAGGATAAGAAAGTTTTTATTTAGTAATCAATTATTAAATGGTAATATACAATCTTGCTTACTTCATAAACACGGGGAAATAAGTCATGGCAATAAAAAGTGCAACACAGTTACATACAGAGGTGCTTTATCTTTGCTTTCTTAAACGTACAGAAAAAAACTGAAAAAAATGTATTCCCTCTCAGAGCTATCTCTGAATGGCCACGTAATGGGGGTTGGGGGAAGAGGGTTTCTTCAGACCTTTTTGGCAACCAACCACATTCATTTAAAGGAATGCATATGCTTGTAAAGTCAGACAATCTAAAACAACAGAAGTCACAGGCCTCACTGGCTCCCTGTATTCACTTAAGTACAAATACATCCCTCTGGTGTGCAAGGCTCTCTATGCTATATCGCCATTGACTTCAGGCAAATATCCTTCCCGCCTTACTGCTTACTAATGTGGACTTCCTACCGCGTCCCAACATGCTCCGTGGCCTCTCACCGCAGTGCCTTAGCTGAGAGTGCTTTTGATTAGCCTGGATCAACTCCTCTGACTGGCCAAGGTCTACCACCTCCTCAGGTGCATGGAAAAAGCTATGAAGCGCTTTCTAACTTTGTGCTAACCCAGTCACCCCTAACCACTTGAGAAATGGCATTTCTCACTGTCTTTAATTCTTGCGGAAAATATTTAAACATTCTTAATATTCCTTAACATAATTCGCCTTCATTTTAAGAATTCTCTCAGTTTTAATGCCTCTACTAGATTGTAGCAGTTTGGGGAAGGGCTCTATTTTTTTCTTTTTTCAATTCTTTTTCTTCCTCCTGACACACTGCTTCCCAGAATTAATTGTGTGAGTGCTTGAGGAACTGAACAAATTATTGCCCTAAGAGATTAGTCTTAGACACAAGGAGGAGGAAGGAAAAATGGGAAATGGTTCTCATTTGAGACTCAGCATGGTACTTCTCACAGAAGCGAGAAAAGAAATTACACCACGATGGACTTATTGTGTATTTTACTTTTATTCTCGCTAAAAATCTATCTATCATTGATAACTTAATTTTTATGGAGGCAGAAATGCGCCTAGAATTCCCAAGAATCTCCTTCCAAGACAGTTTCTGGAAGTAGTTACTGCTTGAAGTGATAATCTTGCAGATAATATTCTCCTTTGGGAAAAACATCATGTTTGCTTAAGTCTGCCATAAGCCTCTTATGAAACTACACATTGTTAATGACAAGAGAAGAAGCGAAAGACAGAGGAAGATGGGAAGTAGATGTTTTAAAAACATGAGCTAATTTCTAAAGAGCAAACTTAAATATAGGAAAAAAAATCTTTTTACCTCTCCAACTGTACCTTTATCTGATGCAACAGTTCAACTGGACAAGTGTGATAAAATCTTTAAAGGTTTCTATATGCCTTTCCCATGCAAGTCTTTCCATTACTATTTATTCTGCTGTGCACATAAGCTACACACATGTGTTCACACCTACCTATGTGCACATTTCAGGACAAATATACTTACTGCCACATAGCACTTGAATTAGAAATAATGCTTGTCTTTTGGCCGGTGCCGCGGCTCACTAGGCTAATCCTCCACCTGCAGCGCCAGCACCCCAGGTTCTAGTCCCGGTTGGGGTGCCAGATTCTGTCCCGGTTGCTCCTCTTGCAGTCCAGCTCTCTGCTGTGGCACAGGAGGGCAGTGGAGGATGGCCTAAGGGCTTGGGCCCTGCACCAGCATGAAGACCAGGAGGAAGCGCCAGGCTCCTGGCTTTGGATCGGCACAGCGCCAGCCGTGGCAGCCATTTGGGGGGTGAACCAACGGAAGAAAGACCTTTCTCTCTGTCTCTCTCTCTAACTCTGCCTGTCAAAAAAAAGAAAAATAATGCTTGTTTTTTGGAACATACTGTGTGGGCTGTTCTTTGCCAGATTTTGGTTGAGGGGGATAGCCACTTAGGACTGTTCTTTATACAACATTGGTCTAAGCTTCTTGCATATCTGTTGAAGTACTGCTATATTCATTGACTACATACTGGGAACTGTGCTAGGTTTACAGAGGTGACTAAGATGCACAAGGCCTCTGCCCTCAATTTCTACAGGTTGCCACAGAACCTATATACATGTACTGGAGGAAACAAAAAATAAACAAGTCAACAAGATAATTACAGGTTATGGTTAAGAATTATAAAGCAAAGGCAATAAACAGGGAAGGTATCTAATAATCAGGGAAGGCCTTTCAGATATACTTAAACGTTGAAAAGAAAAAAAAAGATCTAGCCATGCACACTAACTGGGAAAAAGCCTTCTAGGCAGAGAGAAGTGGAAAGTTCCCAAGATGGAAACAGACTCATTCTGTTTGTAGAACACAAATGAGGCAGTGTGGCTAGTCATGGTTTTCAAATTATGGGTCATGTTTTCAATTGTGATGTCAATTTTGTGGGTCATTGCATTTTCTAAAAGGAAGTTAAACAGAAAAAAAACATCAGAGTCACGAGGTTTCAGAATAAGTATTCTTTAATGAGTTTGGGCCTCACTTAGGTGAGTGTGTGCACGTGTGTACTGGGTAGCAATGTAAAATATGTTTCTTATTGTGGGTGGTAGTCTAATCTGTACTAAGGATAATAGAAACTGACAAGAATGGAGGGGTGAGCAAGAGCCAGACCATGTTTGGCCTTCACATCATAGATGACCACGGAGAACTGGGATTTTTTTTTTCCTAAATGTAGTCAGAAGGGACTGAAGGGGGTCAAGATGGGGAGCAATGTGATCTAATGTGACAACTGGTGTTGCCAAAAGATTAATCCAGTGAAATTCAGAAGGCCTGAGCACTAGCTCTGGCCTAGCTACTAATACCAGGGCTTTTGAGCCAATCACTTAATCTCTGTAGACTTCACTGTCTTCATTTTAAAAATGAGAAAGTGATACAAGATGACCTTGAAGATCTTGTCTATCGCTACGTTTCTGACTATATTTTGTGTCCTCTCTTGGGCACAAGTAAACGACTTTTGGTGTCACTAGTTCATTAGGTCTAGTTCTGGGTTGCCTCTCAAAATGCTTATAAATCAGGTAGCTCAAGAGTTACATTTCTATAGAAACAGTGTTAGATTTCTGTCTTTACTTGAACCAGTGATGTTATTAGAAATGAGATCTCTAGGCTAAAAGTGAAGCAAGTGCTTTTGCAACTCTCTGGTGCAAAGTTTGGGGTGTGAAGAACATTGGCAAGGAGGTATGAAAAGATTTACTGACCAGTATATTTGGAACAGATTTCCTTATTTGTTCTAGGTCATCAACTGATGTATAATCTAGGACAGTTTAAAATTACAAGGATCCTCTGCCAAGCACTAAAGTCAAGATGTGGAAGTTTAAGCTCCTTTTACAATAACCAAAATGACTATGGAGACAAAAATACTCATTGAAAGCCAGTTACATGAAGCTGCTACTAAACAGTTTCTTTAATGCACATGATTTTGTTATTTGCATTTCACATATATGGAAATGAGTTCAGACCAGACAAGCAAGCTATTTAGTGCCAGGGTCAGGATTAGAATGGATCTTAAGATAGGCAACATATAGATCTCTTTTTAATTCCATATTTATGTATATAACTCCATGTTATATTTAATTCCGTATTTATATATAATTCCATATTATATTTACTCTGCACGTTTTAAACAATGACTGTACGAGTATTAAATCATCAGCTAAGTACTTGACAACTCAGTGTCTGTGTCATGCAGACACAGAATGTTCAAGTAGTATATCAATTCTGAATTCACAGGTACTTCACGAGGTAGATTGTGAGATAAAAAGAACTTGTTCCAGGCCCTATTCCTTGGGTAGCAGGTCGGGTTGTCCAAAGTGGAATCAGTCAAGAAAACGCAAAAAATCTGCACACCCAATTTAAGTACTCATCAAGTATTAAGTATTCATCAGTAGTTTTATGGCAGCTTCCACATTCATTTTGCCCAGTGTTGCTGGTGAAAGGGCAGCAGAAGAACCTTTTGTTGTGGCCCTAAGAAGTATCCTACAAGTTCCGTAAACAGGAGGAGATGCGAAAAAGTCACCGATTTCCAACCTACATGAACTCCATAAAGGAAGCATCGCATCAGAAGAACCACCTGTCCACTTGGGGTGATGGAAAGGGCAGGCTACGGAGAGGAAAGCCTTGGAAATACGTAGAGCATCATTGCCCTGAGGAACGAAAGGGACCCTAACAGCTCCCACAGAGATGCCCACAGCTATCCTAGCAAAGTTGGGGATGCTCACCGCACATCTTCCTCGACCGGAGAGTGCAATACCCACCTGTCACATACTCAGCTTCGAACCTCCGTCGGGTCTCGGAGATGAGCTTGGCTTTAATCTGCGCGTGATTCTGCATGGGAGACACGACGGGACCTTAGATAAGACTCGTCCCTCCCCCCAGCCCCCGCCCCAGCTTACCCTCAACCCAGCCCACCTGCACCTGGCGCACGGGCCCCCGGGCCTCAGAAGTGGCTTCTGGGCCCAGGTTGGCCAGCGGCTGTGCACTCGGCTCCTCACCTCGGCCATGGTCGCAGTCATGGATGTGATTGCAGTTGCTGTCGCCGTCGTCACTCCCACCGCCGCCGCCCCAGTATCTCATCACCCGCCAGTCTGTCCCGGAGGTAGACAGAGAAGGGCGGGAGGGGGAGGCGGTCGCGTGACACCTGAAAGCGGACGGAAGTGCCGCCGCGCCACCCAATCCGATGCGGCCGCTTGGGTCTGGTGGCGGGACCTGGCCCTCAGCGTGTGTCCCATTCGTTTCTCGTTGGGGACCCGCCCCACAACGTACCCCGCACTGCGGTCCCGCCCCCGCCAGCCGCGAGGTCGCCAGCGCTTCCCGCGGAGCTCCGCCCTGTGGCTTTCACAACACTCTCCCGAGGCCCCGCCTCCCGAGCCTCCCTTGGCAACCATCGCCTGACAATCTCGGGACGCTCCACCCCCTCGACTTTCCACGCAGTCTCAGAGCTGGCGTCCCAGTACGTGGCGAGCTGGCGGGAGCTTTGGAGCGGCGGGTCGCTGCATCCGCGTTGGGTGTCGGGAACGTGGCGGCTGGGCGGAGGTAAGGCCAGGCCGGCGCGTCTTTTCCCCCTGGTAGTTGGTGCAGGGGGCTGCGGTGCTGGGTTTGGTCCCCTGTCCCCTCTTTGCGAGAGAGCAGGAAGGAAGATGCATCCTGGGGCCTGGGTCTTTCAGTGCAATAAGTGGATTTTTTAAGTCCTTGGGATAGTCAAGAAATCGTTTCGCTTGAAACTTTCTTCATCCTTGCAAATATCTTTGAAAGCTTAAAGTATAACTATATAAACTATATAACTATATATAAACTATATAAAGTTTAAAAATGGGAAGTGTCTTTTCAGTTTATTGCTCGAATCCTGGTGGGGGGGCACTTCTGTGCCCCCCAGAGGACCTTGGCAAAGTTATACAAAAATATCCACAGAGCACCAAGGCTGAGAAACATTTAGCTTAATACACTATCGTAATAAATCTTATGCTCTTCCGTTAGAAAATAAGAATGGAAGGGAAAACGTTGTACTTACAATGTTGCCCCTTTTAAAAGGAAGGATGATGAAAACTGACATGGTAAGAACAGGCTCCCCGGGAGAATTAAGCCACCACCTGCCACGCCTGCATCCCGTATGGGTGCGGGTCAGAGTCCTGGCCTCTCCACTTCTAATCCAGCTCCCTGCTAATTCACCTGGAAAAGTAGTGGAGGATGGCTCAAGTATCTGGGCCCCTGCCACCCACGTGCGAGACCTGGATGGAGCTCCAGGCCCTGTTTCTCCAACACTCTCGTTATCTCTGCCTTACAAATTAGAGAATAAAAAAAAAACTCCCATATTTCCCTTAGCTGTAGTCAGCCATGATAGCATGACAATTTAGTGACTTGTGCCCCATACATTTTATGTTTACATTTTTATGGGAAAAATTGTTTATTGAATACAGTGATAAGAACATTTCAGATATAACTTAAATCTGTCTCTGACTCCATCCCCCTACCTTGATGTTCATCCTCTTGTCCAGAATCAATACTTGTACATAATTTGGCATGAACTCTTTACAGTTTTGCTTTTGTTATCTTTCAGCAGATTGCCAGAGTCTGAATCCTGGTGTAACACTTCTCATCTGTAGACCTATGAGAAGATCTTGAAACTGTCTACCTCAGTTTCCCTGTCTGTAAAATGGGCTAATAATAGTGCCTAGGGCATAAGGATGTCAAGAGGAATAAATGAATTTAACTCATTGGCTTAGAGCAATACCTGATACTATACCCAGAGACGGCACCCAGGGATTGTAGCTATTGGAGGTAAATAGAAAACATATAATGCTCTTTTGTACTTTTTAGTTTATATAAGCTACTGCATTATACATTTCTCTTCAATTTAATTTTTCATCTATTTTATTTTTGAAATCTAGTCATCATGATATACATAGATTTGATTCATGTCTTTTAACTATTCTGTGGTATTCCTTCCATGTTTATTTATTCCCCTATTGGTGGTCATTTAAGTTTCAACTTTTTCTTTTCTATTGCACATAATAGCATAGTGAATATTCTAGAACAATGCCCTTGAGTATATGTAGGAGTCTCTGGTTTCATGTCTAGAAATGAAACTATTGGATATATGCATTTTGGTTTACTATCAAATATCCTACAAAATCATGTCTCTTTTTAATTAAGTGATCATAATTGTCTCCTAATTGTTTGCTATTTCCAGTCTCACCTCACTCACACATTAAAGCACTGTTTGAGATTCTGTATAATTCAAAAGAACAATTTTGTAATTTCTTTTTTTGAAAGCTTTCAGTGGTTTATACTTGCTAATAGGAGAAAGTTAGAAGTCTTTCAGTATGGCAAAGCCTTCTTGAACATAATGTTTCCCAGTTCTCCAATTTAGCAGGTTACCATGCCCCCACGCCCACTGACAGTTTAGTCTGCTATATAGTGTTGGTTAAGTGAGATCAGTTCTGGGTAGTTCCCAACAAATAACTTTTACTTATGTAAGAAGTGTTTTAACTGTAGACTTTTTTTGTAGCCCAGTTTATTTCCTTAGATTGGCAGTGTCATATATGTTAGAAAAAGAGCATCTATCGGTACTTTGTTCACAAGGTTATTTTCAGTATTAAGTGCGATTTTAGGTCAGGTGGCTTACTTCTTTTTTTTTCCCCCAGAGATACTTTCTCTTGGTCACAATTGATATGATTTCTTCCAGATAATTTTGTATTTCATCTGCAAATTTTATAGTACTCTTCTAGAGTCTTCCTGAACCACACTGAGAGTTTATTTAAAGAGTTTTGGAATTTGTAGTGCCCAAATGAATTCATTAGCATTTAAAGGGAATACCATGTTTACTGGGGAAGAGGGTCAGTAGAGAAGAATGGATAAGGGTGATAGTATATTGTCAACCTACTGTTTTTACATTAGAATATATTTTTTCTAGTATACATCTATATATGTTGCAGTTTGACATCAAAGAACTGGAAAAACTAAAATAACATCGTATTTTATACATAAGGTGCTTCCAAATCTCCCCTTCCCTGCCATAGTTGAACCAGGAGATAAAAACTCATTTGAGTTAGCTGTTTGCTTCTGCAGCCACTGGTGTAATGGTACTAAGTAAAACATCAGATAGCTCAGAGGCTGGCTTAAGAAACCTGGTGCCCTGATAATTAGGGTTGCTTATATTGGATCATGAATCATAAATTGAACCTTAGTTTGGCTTGTTTCCAGATAGTCTATTTTTTTTTTTTTTTGACAGGCAGAGTTAGAGAGAAAGAAAGGTCTTCTTCCATTGGTTCACCCCCCAAATGGCCATTACGGCTGGCGCTGCGCCTATCCGAAGCCAGGAGCCAGGAGCTTCCTCCTGATCTCCCACGCGGGTGCAGGTGCCCAAGCACTTGGGCCATCCTCCACTGCCTTCCCGGGCCACAGCAGAGAGCTGGGCTGGAAGAGGAGCACCCGGAACTAGAACCCAGTGCCCATATGGGATGCCGTGCTGCAGGCAGAGGATTAACCAAGTGAGCCATGGTGCTGGCCCCTAGTCTTTCTATCTTAAAAATGAGTGCTACTTAGAGCAGGCATTTGGCTCATTTGTTAAGTTGCCAATTGGGACACCTACATCCCGTGTCTGGATTCCTGGTTCCAGTTTGGTCTGTTCTGCTCTGGTCCAGCTTCCTGTGTAGGTGCATCCTGGGAGGCTACAGATGATGGTTCAAATACTCAGGTTGCTGCTACCCACAAGGGATACCAGGATTGAATTCTGGGCTCTTGGCTTCCATTTGGCCCAGACCTGGCTGTTGTGGATGTTTGGGGAGTGAACCAGAGGATGGGAGATCTCTCTGTCTTTCTGTCTCTCTGTATTTCATTTAAAATGAAAATATATAAATAAAAATTTTAAAAGACTAAATAAATGCCACTTATTTCATAGGCATGCAGGTTTTATGAACATGTACCCAGGTCTTTTAAAGTAGATGTTTCAGTGAGAGCACTTATGATCTACTCTCTTAGCAATTAAACCACAATAAAGCTAGAAAATTTTTAAATTTAATTCATTTTAACAATAGAGACCAAACACATTAAAGTCAAAGAGAAAACTAGATTATTGCATCAGTAGAAAATATATCAAGTATACACATATATGTAAATTGAATAAGCCTAGAGATTAAAAAAAGTCTGGGAAAACATCTTCATAACTAAATAATATATTAAGTGCATCTAATTTTAAACTCTAAATGTAATGTGTTCAAAATAACTTGTGTTGAAATGTGCATGTTTTGCAATGATATTTAAAAACCCAAAATAATAATTTTTCACTTAATAGTCCTTTATGTTTTTAGACCTGTTTGAGTCTAAGTCCATGAGAATAACTTTCCTTTCTGCCTAGGGAGCACTATAAAAGTAGGCTGAGCGAGAATTATGTAATGAGGTTTTGAGTGCCACGCTAAACTATGTAGCAGTGGTTCATAACCATTTTTTCTCTGCCCCTTTTGTGTGTTCACAACAGTGCTTAGCTTCTTTCTATACAGGATCACCGGTCTCTTGAGAAAGGCAGGGAGCATGCCAGGCTTTGAGTTAAGGGACAGTGACAGGTCTACATGTGTGTTTTTTAGAACAGTAAGTAAGGTAGCATAAATACATTCATAAATTGGAGAGAGGGACCAGAATGAGGAGATTAATTATGAGGTTTTTACCTCAGCTTCAGTGAGATAGTAAGGCCTGAACTATAGTAGTGGCAGCCAGCCAGAGTTGGAATATAGAGGTTCTGGACTTGGGGAACTTGGTGATGCTGTGAAAAGATCTGATGACCACTGCACATTATATGCATGTATTGAAATATCACACTATACCTCCTAAATGTGTATAATTATTATATATCAGTTAACAACTATCAAACAAGAACAGTGGAAGTGTCTAATCTTCCTAAGGCCTGACTGTTTGATAGATTCTCCTTAATCGTTTCACATGCAAGGGATTGGGTGGTGAACCAGAACATTGTGCCAATTAAACATTAGTTGTGACATTTCATATTAAAATAATAGAATCCTTGCTCAGTTATTTTTGGTTGTTTTCAATACTAAGAAATCTAAGAACCTGTCATACATTTTAAGGTAACATAATTAATATGTTTGTTTTCTTTAAATGATAGTTTCACAAGTGAAAGCCACACCTTTGAGTTACCTACTTATCTTTACAGATGAACTGAAACTACTTTGTGATTTTATTGTCCCGGATCTTAGCATTTATTCATTGCCCAACTGCAAGCTAGTAAGAGAGTGCCTTGTCCTAATTTTGCACTATGGTATTATATCTTCAGTTACTTCAGGTATTGGTCATGGAATTTCTCAGTAATATCACTTCAGTTCTCCAAACAAATGCCATAGGATCTAGTTTCAGTTATCTCTTGCTGGGTAACAAGTTACAGGCAGCCCTTGGGGCAGGTTCTACAGCTTTGAGTTCTGCATGCTGGGACGCTTATCAACTGTTGATGGGAAGTCTTTAAGAAACATTGCACCTGTACTTAGCATGTACACTCTGTGTGGGGAGGGGTCATTGTTCCTTGAAAAATACAATATAACAACCGTTTCCATAGCATTTAATTCTGTCAGGTCTTGTACTAATCCAGAGAGATGATTCCAAGTGTATGGGAGGATGTGCGTAGGTGACAGTTGTCCATCAGCATGTGTGGGAGATTGGTCCAAGACTCTTCTTAGATACCAACATCTGTACATGCTCAAGTCCATCATATAAAATAGTGTCCACATATATCTTCCTCTGTCCTTTGAATCACCTCTAGCCTACTTGTAATGCTTGATGCAATGTAAATGCTATGTAGATAGCTGTACTGTATCATTTATAGTGAGAAGTCTGTACATGTTGAGCACAGATGCATTCCTTTCCCTGAATATTTTCAGTGATTGGTTGAATCTATGGATATGAAATCCACAGATGAGGAGGACCAACCGTATATGGGAATGCTATGCCATTTTATGTAAGAGACTTGATTGTGAATTTTCTGGTTTTGGTATTTGTATGGGGTCCTGGAACCAATCCTCCACAAATACTGCGGGACAGCTGCACTCCAGAATTTAGTAGCTCATAACAAGACAAATTTATTATCTCACAATATCTGAGGGTCAGGTGTTTGGTAACAGCTTGGCTTGTGCTTCTGGCTCAGGGTCTCCCTGGAGGTGTCCTTACCTGATGGCTTGACTGGAGCTGGAGGATCTGATCCAAGAAGAAGGCTCACTCGTAACACCATTGGCACAAGGCCTCGATCCTTTGCTGGGTGTTCCTAGGAAGCCATAATTCCTTGTTGTGTGTGCCTCTCCACGAGGCTGCCTCAGTGTCTTAATGGTATGGCACATGGCTTCCACCACTGCAACTGGTCCAAGAAAGCGGTGAAAGGGGAAGTCACAAAACTCTTTATGATCCAGTCTGGGAAGTTGCACAGTGTCATTTCTGTCACCTTCTTTTGGCTGGAAGTGAGTCACAATGGCCAGGTCTCATACAAAGGGAGAGGAATTATGTACTACTTCTTGTTGGAAAGAGTATTGAAGAATTTATGAACATACTTTAAAACCATAACAAGTGATGCATTTGGGGGCCGGCGCCGTGGCTCACTAGGCTAATCCTCCGCCTGCGGTGCCGGCACCCCGGGTTCTAGTCCCAGTCGGGGCACCAGATTCTGTCCCGGTTGCTCCTCTTCCAGGCCAGCTCTCTGCTGTGGCCCGGGAGTGCAGCGGAGGATGGCCCAAGTGCTTGGGCCCTGCACCCCATGGGAGACCAGGAGAAGCACCTGGCTCCTGCCTTTGGATCAGCGCGGTGCGCCAGCCACAGCGGCCATTGGAGGGTGAACCAATGGCAAAGGAAGACCTTTCTCTCTCTCGCTCTCTCACTGTCCACTCTGCCTGTCAAAAAAACAAACAAACAAACAAAAAAAAAACACAAGTGATGTATTTGGAAATTAAGCAATAAGATATGACTTTTCCAACTGGAAAGTAGATGTTGACCAATCTAATGTGCTTTTAAGTAGAATTGCCTCTGTAAATCAAAATCATTGCTATAAAATACAGGCTACATTAAGCTGCATTTGTAGATTATGTTTCACGATGATACTTTTTTCTAATTGGACCATATTGTTCTATTTCTATAATGAATGAAAACAACTTGAGCTTTGGGAATTTGCTTTTCATTCAGAGGAAAACAAGCCCGCTTACTTGTAAATATCCTCATTTTTAATTATTTCTGAAACAGTTGGATTTCCTGGTTTACAAAATGCTCCTCTAGTAGACGAAAAGAGTATGCATTAGGGCAATTTATATTGGAGGGGGACATCTCCGCATTCACAGATCACTAGGTCACAAGTATTCTGTTTCTAAGGTTAGATACTCTATGAACCAGAATTGGCTGTGATGATCAGTACATTGATTGCAGCTGGCATTTATTGAGTAAAGTAGTCTCCCCTTATCTGTGGATGATACATTCCCGTATCCCCAGTGGTTGCCTAAAACCTTTGATAGTTCCAATCCTATATATCCTGTAGTTTTTCCTATGTGCCCTAAGGCAGGGCAATACTATACTAGGGTTAATCTGTCCTTCCATGCTTTATGCCCTGGTGCCTCCTTTGTATCACTATTCTTGTGCTTTGGGGCCATTAAGTAAAGTAAGGATTACTTGAACACAAGCATTACAGTACCCTCATGATAAGACTATTGGGCTATAGCATACAGTGTGGATATGCTGGACAAAGGGGACGTTCATGTCCTGGGTGGGACAAAGCAGGACAGTAGGAGGTTTCTTCACAAATGGCATGCAACTGAAATCTTGTGAATTATTTCTGGAATTTTTCATTAAATAGTTTTGGATTGTGATTGACCATGTAACTGAAACTGTAGAAAGCAAAACTGCAGGGTGTGTGGGGGGGGGGGGGGAGCAGAGGGATAGGGATGGCTATTGTACTTCCTGTGTGACAGGCTTTATTTCAAATGCTTGGTGTGATTTAATCTCAGTAGCTTGTGAGATAAGTGCTGTTACACCTCATTATATAAATGTGGATGTGAGGCACAAAGGAATGATGGAATGTGCCCGAATCAAACATCGAGTAAAAGGCAGACTCAGTTCTGCTTGGCATATGGTAGTTCTTCAAACACCACTGAAGGAGTGACTCAGTATTTTTTTTTTTAATTTAGAACATGTTCTTTTGTTCTTTATTCTGTTATATGAATTCTCTCACGTTGCCTTTCTTACGTGATCAGTTTGTTCATGTGATGATTAAAATTGTAGATCCTGCAGTCAGAAGGCCCCTCTTGCCAATCCAGTACCGTTGGTGATTGATAATGAAACTGTAGGTTAGTGTTGTAACCTTGAAAAAATTGCTTACCTTTGTTAAAATAGTATTTTCTTGTTGAAAAATGGGATCATATGGTATTCATTTTAAGAGAATAATCATTAGCATTAGATGAGATAATATTGTACCTGGTATATAATAAGCACGAATGATTGATAGCTTTGGTTTAATTATGTTTATTATAAGAAGTTGTATTAATCTTCATTCCACCCTACCCCATGCTTTGAGTAAGAATAGTGACTCGCCCCTTCGAAAATGAATAAAAGGCCTGGAACACGGTGGACCTGGTCTTTTTGCTCCTTTGCCTTGATTGCCTTCTGTTGCCCTTGTTGCCCTTGGCCTTTGGGCTGCCCGCTCTCTCCACCTTCACTTCGCTACCTCTGCTAAGCTTATTGTAGCTGCTCATAACCAAACGCTTGCTGCACGTGGCTCCTGGCCTACTCTCTGCTTGGTGTGGCCTCAACTTAATTTCTGGACATCCCTTTCTCCCTTAGATAGAGCCCTCACTCTCCTATGCATTTCTCTTACTGAATAAAATCCTTAAAACTTAAAAAAAAAGATAGTGACTTCCTTAGTCATAAAATGCATTTTTTTCTAAAGTAAGATTTATTTCTATTATTCCTAAGGATTTTTTTTCCTTTTTTAAAATTTGTATGTATCTCATAAAGGAACATAGTAATTGTAGGTATCTCATTAGGAACATAGTAATTCTTCCCACCATACCTGCCCTCTCATCCCCCCTTCCTCCTCCCTCTCCTGTTTACTCTGAGAAAGAAAAAGAAACAGAAATAAAGAAAAAAAGAAAGAATAGAATAAAAACAACTAAGAGAGCTGTTCCTCAACAGTCTAGACAAGGGCTGTTCTATGTTATTGCTTCCTCAAGGTGATTTCATTCCCCCCTCCTTTTGCCTTCCTTCCTCCCCTTCTTTCCTTTTAGAAACTTAATTGTCTTTAAAGAAGAACCCAAGGATGGTACATCTTTTGTGAGCTCCTAGACATAACTCTGACTTATGAGCCATAATAATATCCTCCATTTAATATACTAAAAGGAACTGATTCTTGAGAACAAGTTTTACTATTAAGTTTCATGGTACAACTCCTTGGAGACAGAGGTCCTGCATGGGAAGTTAGTGCACGGTGACTCTTGTTTATTTAACAAATAACACTCTTATGTATGATGTCAGTGATCACCCAAGGCTCTTGGCATGAGCTGCCTTGTCTGTGGAAGCCTTTTGAATCCACCAGCTTGACAAGGCCATAAGCAAGGTGGAAGTTCTTTCCTCCCTTAGAGAAAAGTACATCCTTCTTTGGTGGCCACTTCTTTCCACCGGGGTCCTTTATGTAGGACATTTTTTTTTCAGAGTGTCTTGGCTTTCCATGCCTGAAATGCTCCCCCTTGGCTTTCCAGCCAGACCAGAATGCCTTAAGGACTGATTCTGAGGTTGGAATATTACTTAAAGTGATTGTCATTCTATGAGTCTCTAGTATGAACTGCTTCCTGAGGAATTTTTTAAGCCTTGTTATAGCATCTCCTGTTTTGGTTTCTGGGTTTTATTTTTGTCATAAGGTTGGAACAAGCTCCTGTCTCTGGAAGTGCCTGGGCTTTGGGAGCAGCCTAATTCAACAGTCACCATATTTGGGGAGAGACTGAGCTCCTAGACAAGTAAACCAGTGACTAACTGAATTGCCATTCTAAAGGGATGAAAGCAGAGGGTGCAGAACCAGATTAGAGTTGGTAGATTTGAAGCAGAGAAAAGTAGAACACTTAAGAAATTCCCTGAGCCAGAAAGAATCCTCAAAGTCATTTTAAAGAGCTGCTGAAGCTTTAAATGAATACATGCTCATGAGACGTTAGCTTTTTTGATATTGGCTATTTGCATTTTTAGCAAACTTTTAGAATAAGGAGATGTATAGAAAAAATATTTGGGTTATCTTTTTTTCTGAAGAGTGATGGCACAGTAGTTAAAAAAGCTTACAATTTTTTAAAATAAAATTGTAGTTACTTATGTGATATTTCTGTAACAGAAACATGTGTTTTCTTTTGAACTCTGCTTACCTCATGGCAGTTCTTCTCATTTGTTTTTTAGGTTTCATAGCATCAACTGGAATCAATTTGCATTTCAAAATTGGATCAGCACAAAGACTAGATATTGTGGAATGACTAGCAAACAAGCAATGTCATCTGATGACCAAGAAAGGCTCTTGTGTTACAACGGGGAAGTCCTTGTTTTTCAGTTGTGTAAGGGAAATTTTGCAGATAAAGGACCTGTAAAAACACCCATATTACAAGTCCGAAGAATGGTTTTTGACACAGGAACAAGAACATTTGTTCAGAAGTCCATTGGAATATTCAGATTAAAGAAAGAAAAAAACTCTCATTTTAAAATCACATGTTGCAACTGTGTATCTGATTTCAGAACTGGAATCAACCTCCCTTACATTGTGTTACAAAGCAATAAAAATAGTAATATTATCCAATACTTGCTACTATTTCTTCACAGTACTAATAAATTTGAAAAGCGTTTGAGTTTTAAAGTAGACCATGAGTTGAAGGACAGCATAAGGGTCCTTAATGGCCCTTTAGTTTTATGGCAGTGTGTCAGCACATTATTCATTATTTCTTCCAAAACTGGCAATATTGTTAGTGTGTCAGACACCTTCTCCTCTGTTATATGGGCAGGGGAGATTGGAAATCTAGGTACTGTTTTATTAGGAGTAAAGAAACGCTGTTTTTCTGAGGAAGGATCCCAGAAGCCTTCAGAACCAGATTATGCAATTTGGAATACCAAGTTTTGTTTATATGCACTTGAAAGTAAGGAAATACTAAGTGAAGCATATATTATCCCTGCTGCATATAGCGGTGTGACTTGTGTGCATGTCTGCGCGACCGAAATCGTCAACAACCAGATAAGAATATCTCTGCTTGCCCTTACTCAAAAAAATCAGCTGATTTCATTCCAAAACGGGACTCCTAAAAGTGTATGCCAGCTTCCATTTGGCGATCCCTGTGCAGTTCAACTTATGGATTCAGGTGAAGAAAACCTCTTTTTCATTGTATCATTTAGGTCCAATGATGCTTGTGCTGTTTGGAAAAAGAACTTTCAGGTACAGTACTTACTCTCGTAATTAGACCATTCCTGGGCATCGTGGAATTCATCCTAGAGTCTTACCTAAGTCAACTTTTAGTGCTGTCTTTAAAATCATGTTGTATATTATTATACTGTTCTTTTTTCTTAATATTATCTGAATGCTACTTGATATTGAGGTTTTGTTTTTTGCCTTGCCATTTTGAGTCATAACCCTTTCAGTTGTTTAGAAATGTATAAATATATAACTGATTTTATCTTTTAATATGACTTTCTGGTTTGTATTAATGTGATAATAATTAAATGTATATTTTCACTTACATTAGTATTACTAGTATTTTGACATCTTACTCCTTTCTAGAAAACTCAAATCAGTTTTTCAACTTTTGGAAAGTTGATAATTGTCTACTTTAAATTTAACTTTCTCTAATTAATTTCTGAAAATTAAACATGCAGATTTCTTTGAAATGTCACTCTCCCTTTAGAGACAAATAACTATTTTCTAGTACAAGTAGCATTACTTTTTATAAAAACTTGCTGAGAGACTTTTGTTATAATTTAAAGCTCAGAGCTGAGCTTTGACAAAGCCATTCACATAATCTTTTCTTCGACTTTAAGGCTTAGAAATTGCTTTAAAATACTCACTGGTATTCAGTGTTCAGTAACAGGTAAAAAAAAGGCATAGGAAATGAACAGGAAATTAGAGGTTTATAACTATGGGTGTCTCCACCCATAGTATTTCTCTAACTCTTGTTTTGTTTTGTTTTAGTAATATTGCATCCTCCTGGTTTAAGATGTACATCAGCTCATTGAGTTAAGTGATGGGCAGTGTTTCTACATCAAGACAAATTCTTACTAGTCAGGAGTGTCTTTTCTAAAATGAGTACAGTATACAACTTGTTAAGATTTTGTGATATTTAAGAAAAAATAGACGCTGCCTTATCTTGTGTGCCCTAACTAGAAGCTCAACTACAGTTTTTTATCATTTTATCACCTTGCTCTGGAGTATTGATAGATGTTTTAGAAAGTTCAAACTGCCTTTTAAAATGTGAATCATTATTCTGTGTATGGGGAAATGCCACACTTGAATTAGGCTTTATCTGGCTTTGCTTTATAAACTCCATTTCTGTTAATAGGGATTATATTCAATCTCTGTAATCCATATTCAACTTCTATAATACATAGAGAACTTAAATTCTCCAAAGCAAACTAACTTGAAAGCTTTCCTATCTTCTTTTTGAAAGCAATCTTTTAAGAGCACATTGTGCTTTATTTGGAGCTTATATGGAAAATAACATTTTCTGTCTTTTTCTACTTTCTTTTCCTTTCAGGAAATGGTAGGAGGGAAACATCTGGTATACCCTATAATCCTTATCAGGGTTAGAGTAATGGAAAGAACACAACCTGGGTTTGAATCCCAGCTGAGCCACTTACTGGTGTTACCTTAAGGAATGTGTTTAATTTTTGTGAACTTATTTTTTTCTGTGAATTTGGGATCATCCTGCCTCTAAGAGGGGAGAAAATAAATCCAATGACATTGTAAAGTGTCTTGCACAGTGCTTAACACGCAGAAGGAGTTCAGTAAGTCTAGCGGTTTTTATGTTAGACAAGGGCTAGGGCTGTCACCAATTACTTGCACTTACCCAAGGATGTCACTTGAATAAGGAAAAACATTCCCTTGCACCCCATTCATTGAATGGACTAGAGTCCTCACTCACTGCTTTGAAGTGGGTCCCCTGCTTGGACATTGTAAAGCTCTGTCACGCTGAAGTCACCCGAAGCATAGACTGCATCCGTCCCCATGGATGGGTCTGTAACTGCTGCCTCTCTGACTTGAATTTGTGTTTTAGGGTTCTCTGTCTACAGTGGAGCACAAATGCATGCAGTCCCTACTAAATCACTCCCTGAGCCACCCCTTCAGGGATTCCGCACAGTCCTGCTGTTCTCACATACCGTGTTTTGAAAACTGGTCACACGCTGACATCTGCAAGCGCTTGAAAATGGCCTCTACCCTGGCAACCCTGGGCATTTGGCAACTCCTGCCTCTATGTTGGTGTTACATTTATGCCCACTTACTTAAAAAGGATGTGACTTAGAGAAAAATAGCCAAGTACTTGGAAAACAGGGATGCAGGCTAAGAGCTGGAAATCAAGGGAAGAGGCAATAATCATGTCAGACATCCTTGGGCAAAGGAACTAACTGCATCTGAGCAATGACACTTTGTTGAGCAATTAAAGCAAAAAAAGGAAATACGGTAGGTTCCAAATGAATGGAATGTAGTACAAGAGAGTATTTTTTTCTAGCATTGAGTTCTGAAAGGAATTTATTGTTTGTAGTATTATTAAGAGGTTTTAGTAAACAAAATAAATACTGTGTTAATAAATAAAATGCTGGGGCTGATGTTTTGGTGTAGAGGGTAAAGCCACCAGCTGTGATGCCAGTATCCCACATGGGCATCAGTTTGACTCCCAGCTGCTCCACTTCTGATCCAGCTCCTGGCTAATGCCCTGGGAAGAGAAAGCAGTGGAAGAGGGCCCAAGTGTTTGGGTCCTTGCCACCCACATGGGAGGACCTGGAAGAAGCTCCTGGCACCTGGCTTCTGCCTGGCCCAGCCCTGGCCATTGTGGCCACCTGGGGAGTGAACCAATGGATGGGAGATCTCTCTCTCTCTCTCTCTCTGTGTGTGTGTAACTCTGACTTTCAAATAAATAAATAAGTCTTAATAATAATAATAATAAGTTGCTGTCTTTGGTAGCAGTTTTGCCCCAAAACAGAAAGCAGCAGAAGCAGTCTTCCTTCGGGGTGGCTCTCATTCATCCATCTGCCCTTTGACCACCTCCTTCCAAGAAGGAATTAGCTTACAAAGATAGGAGAAATACAGACAAGCATAAATTAGAGTAAGTAATGAAAATCAGGGTTGGTGTGTTTCCAGATCAGCCCTTCATAAAAGCCTCAGGTATAATGTTTAATCCATCCTTAGGACTTGAAATAAAACTGGCCTAGAGGAATGCATGACTAGCTTTTAGGCCTGCTCTCTTGCATAGAAGTTGTCTCTGCAAGTTCTGACAGTGTGTGTAGCAGGCATTTCAAAAGTAACATCATTGCCAGGTATACCTGAAGCATAGATGTTGGTGTGTTGTTGATAGAGGTTGATCTGCTCTAGAACTGTTATCTAATGCAGTAGCCACTAGTCACATGTGGTTATTCAGCATCTGAAATGTGGGTAATCTGAATTAAAATGTGCTATAAATGTCAAAAGTACACACCAAACTTCAAAGTCTCAGTAAAGATTAAAGGTCAAATATCTCAATATGTATTGATTACATTGAAATGAAATAATGTTGGCCAGCACCGCGGCTCAATAGGCTAATCCTCCGCCTGCGGCGCCTGCACACCGGGTTCTAGTCCTGGTCGGGGCGCAGGATTCTGTCCCGGTTGCCCCTCTTCCAGGCCAGCTCTGCTGTGGCCCAGGGAGTGCAGTGGAGGATGGCCCAAGTGCTTGGGCCCTGCACCTGCATGGGAGACCAGGAGAAGCACCTGGCTCCTGCCTTTGGATCAGCGTGGTGCGCCGGCCGCAGTGGCCATTGGAGGGTGAACCAACGGCAAAGGAAGACCTTTCTCTCTGTCTCTCTCTCTCACTGTCCACTCTGCCTGTCAAAAAAAAATGAAGTAATGTCTTAGATATATTGGGTTAAATATATTAAAAATCACCATTTCAACTAGAGAATTTAAAATTATAAATATGCCTGGCATTTATGGCTTGACTGTTTCTATTGGGTAGCACAGTTCGAGAGCTATAGATTGAGACTGCGTCTGCACAGCTGTGGTGTTTGCATGCCTATCGCATTCTTATTGCTAATATCTCTTCCCATAGTTCATTAGACGGCATGATACTTGTGTGTGTGGGGGGAGGGGAGCTAGGGAGCTGATGGGTCTACTAACAAGCCGCCTCCCTGTACAAGAGAAGAATCACAGCTTGAGAAATTAGCTTTATAGGGGCACAAGTGATCATTGGTTACGTACATCACATTACAGCCTCACTTCAGTTGTAAAACCAATCATATTTTGTTAATATTAACTGCTGAACTAAGTGTAATTGCTCAACTTCTGGCCACCCTCATGAATCATCTACATGATGTGTCTGTGCTATTGGGGTTCTGAGCAGAGATTTAGCTTTTTTGGCCTTAGGAAGGAGGGGATCAGATCTCCACGGTGGTATTTTTCCAGGACATCAGTCTGGAGGCTTTGCACTTTATGTACCTTTAAGACGTTGTCTTTTAAACTTTGGGTCTCAAGCATCTTATATAGACCAGATTATTCCATTAAGCTAGGATGCTTCTAGGTGTTCCACCTTGTGAGCCCCTGATAGTAGCTGTATCCCCTCTGCCCCCGTGAGGGTTTATGGTATTAAGTTCATTTTGGTTTTGAAAAGCCCTCAAAGTGCCTACCTGTACCTTCCGTTTGCCTAGTGCTACTGAATTCCTCAGGTAATTGGTCTGATCATAAATGCATATTCATTAAGGTTCATGGGAATGAGGGTCATCCTTAAATTATCTGTGCTAGAGGAAGACTCTTCACTAGAGTTTTACTCATGATAAATGTTAGAATTTCCAAAAGATTTAGTCATGAAAAGTGTTAGAATTTATAAATAAATTATAGTCAAATTTTAATGTAGAAATCAGGAATGTGAGCATCCCTGGGCAAACCTTAATAAAATATTAAATCTAAGTACATTGCTATTTGTAAAGCTATTATAACTCCTTATGTTTTCTGATCTCCCAGTTCCTTAGTTTAGTATATACAATATCATTTTCATTACTCATTTGTAAGACTGAGGATTCAGTATAACTACAAGAAACAGACTTGTTAGTTTGTCTCATATCTGATTTTCTTTAATTTGCTATTCCTCCTTTAATGTACTCTTTTCAGGTTGCTGCTAAGTGGGAAAAAGTTAATTCAGTACTGATAGATGATTTTGTTGGAACTGGAACTGATCAAGTGTTGGTACTTTTTAAGAACTCCTTGAACTCAGATTGCCTGACTTCATTTAAACTAACAGATCTTGGCAGCATAAACTATTCAGTAAGTTCTGTTTACTTACTGTATGTTACTTGAAGAAGCACTTTAGAAAATGCAAGTGCTTGCACTTTTGATACAATATTTAAATGCTTGTGATTTCTTATGTAAACTTTGGGGTTTTAAAAAACATAGATTGGATCTTTATATATGTATATATATATCTAATTTCAACAAATGTTAATACAATTTGACCATGCTTTTGATATAAATTCGAAATATAGTATCCTGTGGTTGTTAAAGAATATTATAACTGTATTGTTGCTTCTGAAAATTGCATTTTATACAAATAAACATGATAATATTGGATTAATTAAAGAATAAAATGAAGGGAAACTGCTTTATTCAAAGAAGTAACAGTTCAAAATATCTTGAGATCTTGGGCATAAGGAAAAATACACTCCTGAAGTTTCTGATCTATATAAAAATCTCAGTGAGCTTGACACTTTATAAAGCAGCATACAAATGTTAGGTCGTAATAGTAGTAATCATGATGATTTTTTTCTAGTTACAAGGTGATGATGGGAAAATATATGTTACCTTTTATTTTGTTGCTACTGTTTTTATAATTTGTTTTTAAAATAATGCTGTGTAACGTGGGAAAGGGCTCCTTGACTGGATAGACTTTAATTGCATTTTGCTAATCTTAGGAATTTTCAATTTATTTCCGTTATTGTGTTTTTTTTTAAATTTATTAGAGTGAACCATTGGATTTCAATGAAGATGATTTATTTGAAGACATACAAGATAATCGTCACTTGGTGATTCCTCCTCTTCAAGGAAGAGTGAAAGTTAGTATCTATGTTTACTTTTCGCATTTGCTTTTTGATTACTGCTTTTCTAAATGAAGTAAAGCACATTGAAAGAAAGGTTCTTAAAGTATAAGCAACTCAGTGCTTAGGGGGAAAATGGCATTTCAAAGGATCTTTACCTTTTGGCACCTTTGTAAAAACTCTTATGGCGTTACTTACAAACGTGTTAGCTAAAACTGATAACCCTTTGCTAGTAAGCCTGTGCAGATTAAGTGAGCTTCTTGAGAGAACATATAAGAAGCTCACTTTTGGAAGTGCGTTTTTCTGGTCTATAGGATCATTGTACCATAATGTTTCTTTTAGCGGGGCAGTGAGTATGATAACTCATGACACATTCCAAACCTGAACAGTTTACCTTTAAGTCTTCCATAAAAAGCTTCCTGAAGTTTTTTTTTCCCTCAAATATATCAAGGTAATGCATATTTCCTGTAAAATACTAAAACTATACAAAGAAATATTAAGAACAAAGTAGAGTTATTATCTGTAGTTGAACTGCCAAAAAATTGCCAATTTTTTTTTGACAGGCAGAGTTAGTGAGAGAGAGAGAGAGAGAGAGAGAGAAAGAAAGGTCTTCCTTCCATTGGTTCACCCCCCAAATGGCCGCCATGGCCAGCGCTCAGGGCTGATCTGAAGCCAGGAGCCAGGAGCTTCCTCCTGATCTCCCATGCGGGTGCAGGGCCCAAGCACTTGGGCCATCCTCCATTGCCTCACCAGGCCACAGCAGAGAGCTGGATTGGAAGAGGAGCAACTGGGACAGAATCCGGTGCCCCAACCAGGACTAGAACCCTGTGTGCCGGTGCCGCAGGTGGAGGATTAGCCAAGTGAGCCATGGCGCCAGCCCAAAAATTACTAATTTTAATACTTTGTAATGATATTCTTATAGGTATTTATAAATATATGCAAATTTACATAGAAATGTGATTATAGGATACATACTGTATTGTAACATGCCTTTTTAGTTTATAAAGATTTTCAAATATATAGAAATGTGCCAGAAATACAGTGCTTATATCTGTATTCCTGACATAGCTGCAACTATTGTTACTTTTAAAAATCATATTTTTAAAATTTTTTCAAAAATGTTTATTTATTTATTTGAAAGAGTTACAGAAAGAGAAGGAAAGACAGAGAGAGAGAGAGATCTTCCATCCACTGGTTCAGTCCTCAAATGGCCACAATGGTCTGGACTGAGCCAGGCTGGAGCCAGGAGCCAGGAGCTTTTTCTGGGTCTCCCAGGTTGATGAGAGGGCCCAAGTGTTTGGGCCATCTTCTGCTGCTTTCCCAGGTGCATTAACAGGGAGTGGGATGGTAAGTGGAGGAGCTGGGACTTGAACCGATGCCTGTATAGGATGCCAGCACTGCAGACAGTGGCTTAACAATGCCAGCCCCTTAAAAATCATATTTACCTCATCTATTTGTGTTTGTATGTGTGTACATTTCTGTAGAAGCATTTGAAAATTGCAAGTGTTATTATGCTTTACTCCTAGTGCATCGCAGCAGAAATCTCCTGAAACGGAGATTACATAATAGGAGACTACTTCATCTCCTGTGTAACCACAATGCCATTGTTGTAGTTAGAAAATTAATAATGATTCATTAATCTTAGTATCTAGTCCATATTCAAATGTATTTGTCACAAATGGTTTTTGCAGTTCCTTTTTTTTTTCCAGGATCCAACCAAAGATTTCACTTCCTTTGGATTATCACTCATTGGTCTTTTAATGTAGTATAATGCCCCTTCCTTTTTTTTTTTTTTAGATAACACTAATGAGGAGGCCAGGCAAGTTGTCCCTCTTGGATTTGTCTGTTCACTTGTGGGGTCATTTAATCTCTTGCTCTATCCCTGGGGTTTACCAACTTTTTCTGGAAAGGGCCAGGTATTAAGTATTTGTACTTTGTAGGACCTTTAAAAGTTAATTTGCAACTGTTTCAGTTATTAAAGTGAATTCATTAATGCTTGTGTAACACATACCAGATACGAATATGAACAATAGATAAATAAAACATAATGGACAGAGAACAATAGAGAAAAAGATGGATAGCAGGATTCTTCATAAAGTTTATGGAAAAATAGAGTCAAAAGATAAGTTTATTTTGTTGCAGAAAAGTTTTTGAGGTTTATTTATTTGAAAGACCAAGTGATGAGAGAGAGAGAGAAAGAGAGATGGAGAAAGAGATTGTCGATCTACTGGTTTACTCCTCAAATGAACACAATGGATGGGGCTGGGCCAGGCTGAAAGCAGGAGACTAGAACTCCACCCAGGGCTCCCATGTGGGTGGCAGGGACCCAAGTACTTTGGCCATCATTTGCTGCCTTCTCAGCTAGATGGGAAGTAGAGCGACCAGGACTCAAACTGGCACTCTAATACGGGATGCAGGCATCACAAATGGTGGCTTAACCTGCTATGCCACAATGCTAGCCCTGTTGAAAAAGTTTTTTAGTTGGTATATATAAGGAGTCTTTAAGAGGTTCATGGAAATGCACATTATAAAAAAGGTATACATGGGTTTCAAATGTGTTTGACCAAAGTAGATTTCTCTTAATTCCATTTTCAGTGAGCTTTTTGAAAATGACATTATATTAAAAACTTCTGGGGCCGGCACCGTGGCACACTTGGTTAATCCTCCGCCTATGGTGCCGGCATCCCATATGGGTGCCGGGTTCTAGTCCCAGTTGCTCCTCTTCCAGTCCAGCTCTCTGCTGTGGCCGGGAGGGCAGTGGAGGATGGCCCAAGTGCTTGGGCCCCTGCACCCGCTTGGGAGACCTGGAGGAAGCACCTAGCTCCTGGCTTCGGATCGGGACAGCGCCGGCCGTCGCAGCCATTTAGGGAGTGAACCATTGGATGGAAGACCTTTCTCTCTGTTTCTCTCTCTCACTGTCTGTAACTCTACCTGTCAAATAAATAAATAAATAAATAAATCTTTAAAAACAAAACAAAACAAAACTTCTATACCCTGAATAAAAAGACAAATTGTGGAAAAAGATACTATAACACATGACAGAGGATTAATGCCGTTTATATAAATGTGCATTCTTTTATAATATAGTTGAATACATATAATAGTCCAGACTTCTCAAAGGAAAACTTATTATAATTATTAAAATGTGAATTGTATATGTCTTTTTGCTCTTGTACATCCAGTTCTAGAAATCTGTTTTAAGGATGCACATGTTTTTACCAGAATATTTATGTAGCGCTTATAAACAACAGTGTTGGTCAGACTCCAAATACTCATCGTTAGGAGTATGGTAAATAAATTATGATATACCTAAATCATGGAGTACTATCCAGGTGTCAAAAAGAATAAGGTTTATCTTTATAGTGATTTAGAAATGATGCCAAAATAGTTTAATTTATGAAAACATGACTTTGTGAAAGGTTTAATTTATGAAGCAGGACCAACCCTCTTGATTAAAAATGCAATGATAGGTTAAATATTTTCTGAAAATCTTCTTAGAAGCTTCAGAAACCAGACAATATAAGAGTAACTTATCAAGCCAAATTTTCAAGGCAGGAACCCAGAGAAATAAGCACAAGACCAATGCCCTAGGAGTGTGGACAAGAACCTACAGCCATGTGCCCCAGGCACCTGGCAGAAATGACATAAAGTCCTCCCTGGAAACACACATTTATCTTGGGTCACATATAAATCTCAAAGTTTCATTCTGTCGCCCACAGAATGACTAAGCACAGAAAGAAGGCATCGTGAGTAATTCTTCACAGAAAATAATCACACTGCACTTTTGTCAACTAAAAACATGCAATTTAAAAAACTTAACAGATGACTTCAGTGGTTATCTCAGAGATGAAAGAGATGCAGAATAAATTAGTGAGCTGGAATATGTTAAAAATTATCAAAAAGGTAACACAAAGAAGGAAAATCTGAAAGGTTTTAAAGAACATGAAGGGAAGGCAGGAAGAATGGAGATGGAAACTGAGAGGTGAGCGTCTGCGTTGTTTTATGCGTTACCTGTTGGCGGTAACTCTCAATGTGGAGAATCAAGTGCTCCAGGGCCTTTTGGAGGCTAACAAGTCTACCTTCATCCATTGTATTTGTTTTGTTATTATTATTTATTTTTTTTAAAAAAAGATTTCTTTCTTTATTTGAAAGAGTCACAAAGAGAGAGAAGGTGAGGCAAAGAAAGAGAGAAAGGTCTTCCATCCGCTGGTTCACTCCCCAAATAGCCCCAACGGCCAGAGCTGTGCTGATCCAAAGCCAGGAGCCAGGAGCTTCTTCCAGGTCTCCCACGCGGGTGCAGGGGCCCAAGGACTTGGGCCATCTTCACTGCTTTCCCAGGCCATAGCAGAGAGCTGGATTGGAAGTGGAGCAGCTGGGACTTGAACTGGTGCCCATATGAGATGCTGGCACTGCAGGCAGCAGCTTTACCTACTACACCACAACTCTGGCCCCTATTTTTATTTTTTTAAAGGTTTATTTATTTGTTTGAAAGGCGGAGACAGAGAGGCACAGAGAGAGAGAGAGAGAGGGGTCTTTAATCCGATGATTCACTCTCCAGGTGGCCGCAATGGCCAGAGCTACACCGATCTGTGGCCAGGAGCCAGGAATTTCTTCCAGGTCTCCCACAGGGGTGCAGGGGCTGGAGGACTTGGGCCATCTTCTACTGCTTTCCCAGACCATAGCAAGAGAGCTGGATCGGAAGTGGAGCAGCCTGGACTCAAACCAGCGCCCATATGGGATGGCAGCACTGCAGGCAGCCCTGTTTATCATTTTTTAAAGACTTATCTGTTTATGTTAAAGGCAGAGTTAATAGAGAGAGGGAGAGATGGAGAGATCTTTTCTCTGCTGGTTCACTCACCATGTGGTCCCAACGGCCACACAGGAATGAAATTGACATTTTGAGATTCAATGATTATTTACAGTCTTTCTCTTGACTTGAGGAACAGTGTTTTTTTTTTTTTTCTTCTTACTGTTTGTTGAGCTCTTAGTACAGGGTTAATCTTAGGAGTATAAAAAACTGAAAATCTTTGTAAAAATTAAGAGTGGGAATAGGAGAGGTAGGAGGAGGAAGGGAGGGAAGGGAGAGTAGAAAGTATCACTGTGTTCCTAAATCTGTATATATGAAGTACATGAAGATTGTTTACCTTAAATTACATTTTTTTTAATTTATTTTTAAGGAATGCAAATTTCATAAGTACAACTTTAGGAATGTAGTTACTCTTCCCACCATACCCACCCTCCCACCCCTACTCCCACCCTCCCACCCCTACTCCCACCCTCCTCCTCCTTCCTCTCTCCTTGCCAGCCTCATTCTCCATTAGGATTCATTTTCAATTCACTTTGTACACAGAAGACCAACTCTTTACTAAGTAAAGATTTCAACAATTTGCACACACACGCACAAAACTGAGAACTAGTTTTATGGTTAACTTTCATAATACAGCTCATTGAGGGCAGAGGTCCTGCATGGTGAGTTAGTGCACAGTGACTCGTGTTGTTAATTTAACAATTAACACTCTTATGTACGATGTCAGTGACCACCTGAGGCTCTTGACATGCGCTGTCTAGGCTGTGGAAGCCTTTTGAAATTTTTAGAAACAAAGGGCAGGTAGGTTTGCCTCCAGGGCCACAGGGCAGCTCCTGCTGTGCTACATTTTCACCTGGATGTGGATAGGAGGCTCTTGGCTTCGTCATTCATCTGGAAGCTGTTTTTTTGGGTCATACACTCTTCTCTGTGTATGACAGAGATCACGATAAAGAAGCACAATGCAAGCGTCGATGTCAGGCCATGTTCCCGTATTTGATTTCGGGTGGGTGGGCTTTTTGTTGGTGGGGAGGAGAGACAAACCATTCCTTAACTGGTACCTGGAACAGTTCTGAAAAGGTAACCAGTCACAATCTATTGGGTATGTAAATAGGATTGGGTACCTAAAAAGTGAAGGTGAGATACATTTTTGTATTTCACTCTTTTGTCTTGGAGTGGGAGGTGTGCTGAGGAGAGGAGGGAGAGAGAACACTGATCATTTCTGAGGGGACATTTTCAATCTGCCCATGTAGTCCTTTTTTTCACGCCTTTCCCCTCCTGCAGCTCAGATGTGGCTGTTTGTCTCTGATTGGGTGTCTCTCCTCCTCCTTGAGTCACAAATTACTGAGCAAATGAGAGGTGGTATGTGAATGATGGGGAGTCCACAGAACTAAGTCAGCGTAAGTTTTAAAATATTAGCTAGACATTTTCCATACTTTGTATGATGAAGATAAAGAATTCCATCTTTACCCTTCAACTTCAGTTCATGAAACAAAGAAAAAGAATTCACTTGCCTTAAAATTTAGTTTCAATAAAAGGAATTCAAAAAAGAGGTACATTTTGTTTTTTAAACACAGAAAAACATGTTTTATTAAAAGATAGATTAATACTTCAATAGCCTCAGATATCCATCTGAAATGAAAAAAATTATCAGTTCAATGAAGCAACTCTTTAAATTTTCAGTAGCAAAAAACATTCCATGAATGTTTCATCCTTAGTGCTGAGGTCTGTTTACATGATATAATAAAGGGAATGTATTGCTCTATGCCCAGTTCAGAGCCAAAATACCATTTTTTTTTTCAGTTTTCAGTAGTGTGTATCCTACTGCTGAGTTTATCAGCACAAAAAAATGTATGATAGTTTTTGGGGGGTCATTGTTTGTTACCTTTAAATTTTTTATAAAAGGTAACACAAACAGGATTTCAAGCTATCAAAAGTATTCATTTTTATTCATGATAATGTCTTATGTTAGTGTTTCATTAAGAAAGAGGTTTTTTTTGTATTGGGGGGAGGTATGAGAGTGTTTGCAGCCCTTGATTTTTATCCACAGTTTTATTCATCCATAATTTTTATTCAGTTACTTAATGACTTAGTAGTGGAAGGGATCCTAATTTGCAGGTAGGCAAACCTACCTGCCCTTTGTTTCTAAAAATTTCTAAATATTCTCTGTTTCATATATAATCTCTGTATTGCTGTTATTTGTATTTTCTTTTGGAAAAATTACATTTTTCTAATTAGAGATTTAAAATCTATGAAATAAAACAGTTTTACCTTAATAAGTATTTTCTACTTTTCTATAAGAAAATGAATTGATAAGCACATTTGGAGAAAGTTCTTCCTAAATTAATGGTACGTCTGGTTTCTTTTGAAATTGTATCTCTGGCAACTAAAATTTTTCTTTCTTCTTTATAGGTTGGATTAGCTTATATTCAGGAATTACAGAAGCAGCTCTTGCTGAAGGAAAAAATTATTTCACAATCGTTCAAAGCGTTAATGAATGTGTTTCAAGACAGAGATAATAATACACCAGTTACAGAGGAGGTAAAGTTATCACGTGACCATGTCGTCATGTTATGGATTGAAAATCTGCAAGGGCCAACGCGGTGTAGTGGGTTGAGCTGCTGCCTGTGATACTGGCGCCCTATAGGGGCACTGATTCGAGTCCCGGCTGCTCCACTTCCAATCCAGCTCCCTGCTAATGTGCCTGGGAAAGCAGCAAAAGATGGCCCAAGTACTTGGGCCCCTGCACCCACATGGGTGACCTGAAAGAAGGTTGGAGCTCCTGGCTTCATTGTGGCATGGCCCTGGCTGTTGTGGCCATCTGGGGAGTGAAACAGCAGATGAAAGATCTCTCTTGAATTCTTTGTCTCTCTGTAACTCTGCCTTTCAAATAAATAAAAACAAATCTTTTTTTTTTTTAAAGAAAATTCGAAAGGTATTGAGTTACTTAAATTGTAATGTATCAGAAAGTGCTGCTCAGTGGATCCAGAAGAAAAGTGGCAGGGATTGTATTGGTGGACCTTTATAGCATTGAAAAATATTTGACAAGTCAATATTTTATAAGTTTGCATATAATTTGATAAGGTATTAAGCCTCAGTTAATTAAATTAAATCTCAGTTATCAGGAACATAACTTTTTTATTTGTATGGTTTGTATATTTTCTGACTTTTTAAATAGAATATGTTGAACATTATTTAAACTTGTATTGGTGATGACACAGTTTTATCATTAGTATAGTAATTGTTCTTTTAGTCTGTTGCATTATTCATTTCTAAGAATATTTATCCCTCTAGTAGATGTTTCTAAAGTGCTATTACTTTCATCTATCTGCTTCTTAGAATTTGGCTCTCTTTTTCTTTGTGGCCGATTATCATAAGAACCTCTTCAGGTACCTTCCAGTTACTTATGCCAGTACAGTAATGCGGAGAGGTGGCAAAAATTGTTCACACTTTACAAAAAAAGTAGTATATATGCACATTAATTCCATGTAGGAAAAGACGCAGCATAGAAAAATTATAAATAAGTGAAGGAAAGCTGGGCATAGAGAAAATTAGTGTTAGATTTTATTCCCTCAAGTCATGTTAGTGCCTAGCTCTGACTTCCTTCTGGATTGACCATTGTTGTCTATGCCTTGTATCTGTATTTCAGTCTGAGCAGTGTGAGAGTTTTGGCCCAAGTTATCATCCTGTTTCTGTAAAAAAAAAAAAATATTGTATTTCTGTATTACTATTTGAATTTCCTGGGAAACCTCATTAAGATGATTAAAATTAAGTGTCCTCTGGCGTGCATTTTGCCCAACTGTTAAGATGCCTGCTGGGACACCTGTGCTTGAGTGCCTGCGTTTGGTACATAGCTCTGGTTCCCAACTCTAGCTTCTCACTAATGTGCACCCTGAGAGGCAGTAGGAATGGCTCAGTTAGTTGGGTTCCTCCCACCTGTATGGAAGGCCTGGATTGCGTTCCCAGTTCCTGGCTTCAGCCTGGCTTAATCCCAACATTTTCAGGCATTTAAGGAGAGAGCCACCTCTGTCTCTCCCTGTCAAAAAAAATTAAGTCTCTCCATTTCCCTTCCCCAGTTCATCTCAATAATTTTGCCAGTATTAGAAACAAGAAGGAATGTTTAGAAATTAATCCATTGAAACCACTATTTTGCAAGATCCCAGTTTTCTCTCATTTATATTGTTAACTTTAAAGGCAAACCTAGCAGACCATAAACATTTCCTGAAGTTTGAGATGAATAGCCACCTCAGATGTCACAGCCACTGGCAAAAGTGGCAGATTCCTAGGAACATGTTAGTCTGGTATTGTGTAAATTGTTCACGTATATCTTTTCAGTAATTAGTATATAGAGAGTGGAGTATAAAGACTGAGATAGATAGAGCATGGGCTTTGGACTGAGTTGCTTCAGTTCAGGTGCCAGCTTTATGACCTTGGGCAAGTTTAACTCAACCTCCCTGTGTTTCATTTTTCTCATTTCTAAGATCTGTATAATAATATTACTGACCTACAGTCCTAGGATTAGTGTGAGAGTTACTACTGCATCTCCTGCTGCTATTTCTGTTGTTCTTATAAATGCATATGGTGTAGAAATGAGTGAGTATGGCCTGAATTTTAAGTTTTAGGCATGGACATCTAGCCTAGTGATTAAGACACTGGTTAAGGCCGGCGCCGCGGCTCACTAGGCTAATCCTCCGCCTTGTGGCGCCGGCACACCGGGTTCTAGTCCTGGTCAGGGTGCCGGATTCTGTCCCCATTGCCCCTCTTCCAGGCCAGCTCTCTGCTATGGCCAGGGAGTGCAGTGGAGGATGGCCCAAGTCCTTGGGCCCTGCACCCCATGGGAGACCAGGAGAAGTACCTGGCTCCTGCCATCGGATCAGCGCGGTGCGCGGGCCGCAGCTCACCAGCCATGGCGGCCATTGGAAGGTGAACCAACGGAAAGGAAGACCTTTCTCTCTGTCTCTCTCTCACTGTCCACTCTGCCTGTCAAAAAAAAAAAAAAAAAGACACTGGTTAAGGTGCCGTTGTGCCATATCAGAGTGCCTCTACTTGGTGCTTGGCTCCATCTCCTTTCTCCAGCTTCCTGCTAATGTGGACCTTGAGAATCAGCAGGTGGTGGCTCAACTAATTGCATTCCTACCACTCACATGGGAGACATGGATGGCGTTCCAGGCTCCTAACTCTGGCCCTGGTCCAGCCTCATCTGTTGATGGGCATGTTGGGAGTGAAACAATGAATGGGAGCTTATTTTCCTTTCCTGTCAAATACATAAAAATAAATATTGCAAAAAAGCAGGATTAAAATTTTTGCAATGGCCTATAAGCAGCCTAGGGATAATTTAATTAGTTTCAGTTGCACAAAAGTTTACAGTATAGTCTTGATACAAGTCATTGATAAATAAACAGATTGGTCACTGTGGTTAGATTATTTTTCAAAATGGATGCCGAGTTTATATCACTGCTGGCTCTGTGTTAGACACTCCACCATTTGAAAATGTTTATGAAGTTTGGCCAAAAGCTGAGTTACATGATTTTTTTGGTTTTGCTGTTTTCTACATTTTTTATACTCAGTTTAAACATTCTTTTCTGTAAGGCTAATCTTGTCCCTCTTTGGGGTGAAGAAGAAAACTGTGTCCCTACCTTGGATATGAAGTTATCAGACAGTTTTCAAGGTTCAGAACAGCTAGTCGAGGAAATATGGTACCGTGTAATGGATGATAACTTGGTTGTTGGAGTGAAGGTCACACCTTCCTTGAAGGCGTAAGTAAATCTAACATCACAACACTATTTTAATTTTCTAGGACAGTGCTGGCCCATAGACCTCACCACAAGCCATGTGTTTAGACGTTAGGTAATAATATGAAGAGGATGAGGTTTACAAAGTCAAGATGCTCTAGTCTCAGGGTAGAGATAAGCAGAACACAGAACTTTCCAATCTGAACATTTGGAAGTATAAGGAACATTTAGTGACTTGGCTAAAGGGGAGAGGTGGAAATTCAGTTAAATGATAAAGTGTCTCTCTCTGATAATGGAAGATTCTCTTTGGGGCTATAGAAATCATGGATAGGAAAGTAATGTCGGTGTTATCTGTAGCCAGTCAAAGAGCTTTTCAGCCAAACAGGAAAAATACTCTCATCAGTATTACAGCAACTACATCTGAACCACAAATGTGCAGAGAGAAACCAGGTAGTGCCTAGTACTAGAGAGACAGACAATGTAACACAGTAAGGAATCCATGCTATCTAGTGCTTTTGAGACATTAATTTATTCTTTAATTTCACTGCATTTCTAAGCTGTTTTGTGCTGGTCAATCATGGGTTTTTCTTCTTTAGTGGGGTGAGTTACATTAATGGGTTTTCTATTATAAAAGCAGTTGCATTCCCAGGGTAAATCCAAATTCATTACATCATGTTGGTACACTGCTGGGCTGGGTTTGCTTAAGTTTGATCAGGCATATTTACATATCTTCTTTTACTTTTTACTCTCTGATATATTTTACATTTGAATGATATTTCCTAGGAAGGGAGAGAATAAGAATTATTTGTTGTTTATTATTATAAACAAATTATTGTTTGTTTATTTGTATGCCATTTAGTCATCCAAATGGTTTTGGAAAAACCTAGCTTTTAGACTAAACCAAACTCTGGATTTTTTTACAGGTCCTTGAATGATGTGACTGTATCTCTGCTAATGGATCAAGCCTATAGTTCCAGCTTTCGGCCTATTAAGTGTCAGAATAAGGTGATTAAGTTGAGTACAGAGTCTTGCGCAGCACCACACTTGATACCATACCAAATAGGATCATATGCAAAAAGGGTCAAGTTGACTCTTTATAGTCAGCAAGAAGAAAAATCTGTTTCTGAAAAACCACCTAAGAAAGACAGTATACAGCTGGTTACTGCTGTCACATCTCTTTCACCACTTTTAGCATTCCATAAATTTTGTTGTATTGTGGTGCTACAAATTAGGGGAAGAAAAAATGGTAACTACCCTGAAGATCGTTATATTCCATGCGGCAGAGTTTTCTTGAGTCTAGAAGATCTTTTGAGTGGAAAATACTTGATTACACTTCCAAAGAAGAAACCTATAGGTAATTCTTGTTTGTCCTTTTTCATATTCTTAATTAAATCACAAAATGTTCAGGACTCTGTATATTTGAAAATGGACAGGGTTTCATGGTACAGCTTTTGACATGCTTTTCTTGTAGAACACATGGAAGATCTTTTTGCACTTCTTACAACATTGCACAAGTCTTGTTTTCAAATCACATCACCCAACTATGTCCTGAATGCTGTGAAGGTGTGGCTCTTAGAACACATGCATTGTGAAGTAATCAAAGAATTTCCAGAAATGTGCTTTTGTAAAAGGCCAGGAAGTTTCTATGGGACACTCTTCAGCTGGAAACAAAAGTCACCATTTGAAGGGATTTTAATTGTCTACTCCAGGTAATGCCCATCAAATCCAGTGAAGTTAGTGCGTATGAGTGTGGTGAGTGCATGGTCCAACAGTGATCCCCACTGTGCTATCTGCGACATGTCAGAGTCAGAGCAGTGAACAGACAGGTATGGCTTCATTTAGAAACTGAAGGTCTCTATTTTAATCTTAGGGTTGTTTTTGGCTTCTTTTTTTTTTAAAGGACCTACTTAGGATTTCTCTTTACCTTTCCTCGACAGTGATGTTCTAAAAACTGTTATACTCATCTTACTACTTAGCCAAAAGATTAAATGCTCCCAAATTTGTATATATTAAATGCCTGAAGTTTGTATTCCTTAAATAAAAAAATTAAATCGGAAACCTGATTAATATTCTCTAACTTGGTATAGGATATGCATATTTGATTACTATAGTCTGAAATCTGTCAGTGATCAATGCATTATTGGTTCTATTCATTAATACTATTTATAAGTGAATATTACTGCAGTATGTTGAATGTGACTGCTTTGTGCTGTTCTGCTCTTTATAATATTATGTTTGGTTTTTTTTTTTTTTTTTATTCCAGGAATCAAACAGTTTTGTTCCAGTGCCTTCATGATCTCATCCAAGTTCTCCCTGTAAACAGTTTCTTCAGAAATTTAAAATCAGAACATGAGGATTTCCTAATTAGTCATTTGGCATTAAGTTTGGAGGAGGAACTGGTTACCCTTGATTCTCTTTCTTCTATCTTAACTAAGGTCGAAAGCAACTTTTTGCAGAGGTGTGAAGAGAGCAAAAGAGGAAAGAGTAGTACTGTAGCTGATTCATCAGACAGAGAGGAAGATATCCATTTGTATAGCAAAGAACTTCAGAGAGAAAAGAAAATATTGAGGAAACATAGAAAAGTGAGCGGTGCCTTTTACAGAGAAATTATTTTCAAAGTAGTTGAGAGGCAGTTGAAATCAGACGTCATAGCACAGAAACTGACCCATTTATAAGTTTTAAATTGGTCATATTCTAAAATAGGTTTTTCACTGCCTTAAAGTTTTGGTTCCAGTTGTTATATAAGTCCTTTGCAAAAATAAAGATTCAGTCTTATTGTAGTATAATCTTAGTTTTGATGATGTATAAAGTCGTATGTATTAGCAGCAGTTCTCAACTGGGGCTATTTGGCTATGTTGAAGACATTTTGTGGTTTGTCAGAGGTTGTGGGGTCAGGGAGAGATGAGATGAGGGTTGCTAGAGGCAGCTAGTGGGTAAAGAAAGCCAGGAACGCTGCTAATATCCTGTGATTTCTAGGATACTCCCCCACCCCCAACAAAATGATATGGCCCAAAATGTCAGTAATGCAAAGGCTGAGAAATGCTGTCTCACACTTACTACTTAAGGAGGACAGAAATGATAGAACAGAATCTGGTGTAAAGTCTTTAAAGCGCTTCATCCTCTTCTTGTCCTCTGCTGAATAAAATCTAACATACAGAAGTCAATTTCAAATGGATAAATTCTGCCAGGTTGTCAGGATTTATAAGTTTCTGTAAATATTAAACTCCCCTGTGTCGCTCCCCCTCTTCGTGGAGGAGCGACACTAAACCCTGCGCTGTTCTTTCGTCTGCTCGGCCCTCCCCGGGTTTGCTGCTGGTTCTTCCCGGGTTGGCTACTATCCCTTCCACCTCCGTGGAAGGGCGGTTCCCCCTGGCCGCATTCCCCACTTCCGCAGGGGAGCGGCACACTGCCGGCCGGCTCTTCTCGGGGGCTGCACAGGTGTTCCTTCAGCTCGATGTTCCCCTTAGATGTTCCTCGTGCATGCCGTCTCTCTCCTCCTTTATAGTCCTCTTCCACCAATCCCAACTCTGCTACCCACACGCCGAGTACACTGCTCTCCTCCAATGAATAGCAAGTCCTACAGTTTATTAGTTGAACTGGAGGCAGCTGTGTAGAAGCTGTTTCCTCCTCTCCCAGCGCCATATTGTGGGAGAGCAGATGCATAGAATAAGTCTTAATTCCAGTAACTTAGTCTAGTCCGAGTTGCTCCCAGTTGCTCCCCACAGATCCCCCTTTCTTTTTATTTTTGGCGTTGATACGTGCCTGTCTTCGGTGCCCCGCAGCACACACTCTGCTCTGCTTGCTAGAGTTGCCCACAGGTTCTTACAAGTCCTATCAATCAGGCAAACCAAATCCGGGTCCTCTCTTCGCCATGTTGTGAGGAGGTTTTTAGGTGCTGATGCGTGCCTGTGTTCGGTGCCCTGCAGCGCATGCTCTGCTCTGCTAGAACTGCCTGCAGGTGCTTACAAAACCTAGCAATCAGGCAAACCGAATCCAAGCCTTCTCATTGCCGTATTGTGGGGAGACTTATTGGTGTTAATTCGTGCCTGTCTTCGGTGACCTGCAGCGCATAAGCTGCTAGCCGCCCGCAGGTGCTTATCGTCCTAATCAGGCAGACCGAATCCAAGCTCTCTCATTGCCATGTTGTGGGGAGGCCTTTCTCTATTTCTCTATCTCCGGGCATTCCTATCTCTCCTATTTTACTTCTATCTACCAGCATTCCTATTTCTCTCATTTTACTTCTAAAACTTCTGTTTCTCTTATCCCTGCGGCTTCCCGGCGCCCGCCCCGAGGCTGCTTCTCGGCGGCTTCCCAGCTCTGAGCCACTTCAGCCCGCGCCGGTGCCCGCCCTGCAGTGGGCTCCCGGCTCTGCGCGGCTTGGCTTCGTGGGCTCCGCGGTCTCCACGCCCTTCGCGTCCACACCACGGCCTCGCGCCAGCCCCGCGTTCCTTATCTATTCACGCCCCGTGCTCTCTCTGCACGCGGCAGCTTCCGCGAGTCACACAGCATAGCTTACGTCTCAGCCACTAGTATTCAATCCAAGTTCCCCGGACTAACCTGGCGAATTCCAACCTGGCGGCCCACGTCTCTGGTTCCAGATCTTCGCCTCTTGCTCCCTGGGGTGACTTGAAGAATTCCAAGGTGGCTTACGTTTCCGCCTCGGCCTGCACTCGCGGCTTCATCCTCCCTAACATTTTTCTCTACCCGGTATGTTTCCCTAAGTTTTCTTCCAACAATATTCCTCCCTCATTTCTCCTGGCTTCTCCCCACAGTCCGTATCCGAGTCTAAGTTTCTTCTAGGTTTCACTTTCACTTTCAACCTGCAGTCCGTATCTAAGTCTAAGTTTCTTCTTGCTTTCACTTTAAATCCTAACTTCTTTCCCACAGTCCATATCCGAGTCCAAGCCTCCTCCAGGTTTCACTTTCGCTTTCAATCTCCTAGCTTCCCCGCCATAGTCCGCATCCAAGTCTATGAAAGCTTTCACTTTCGCTTTCAATCCTAACTTCTTTCCCACAGTCCATATCCGAGTCTATGCCTAGGCTTTCAATAGCTTCTTCCGGCACCTAGGCTCTTTGCTAGTCTCTCTCTCCGATATTTTCCACTTCTTCCCGTTTCTTCCCTCCTAAGTTTCCTATCCGTCCTAGGTTTCCTAATCCGAGTCAGGTTTCCTAATCCGAGTCAGGTTTCCTATCCGAGTCAGGTTTCCTATCCGAGCTAGGTTTCCTAATCCGAGTCACGGCACCATTATGTCGCTCCCCCTCTTCGTGGAGGAGCAACACAGGACCCTGCCTAGGCTTCCTATCCGAGTCACGGCACCATTATGTCGCTCCCCCTCTTCGTGGAGGAGCGACACTAAACCCTGCGCTGTTCTTTCGTCTGCTCGGCCCTCCCCGGGTTTGCTGCTGGTTTTTCCCGGGTTGGCTACTATCCCTTCCACCTCCGTGGAAGGGCGGTTCCCCCTGGCCACATTCCCCACTTCCGCAGGGGAGCGGCACACCGCCGGCCGGCTCTTCTCGGGGGCTGCACAGGTGTTCCTTCAGCTAGATGTTCCCCTTAGATGTTCCTCGTGCATGCCGTCTCTCTCCTCCTTTATAGTCCTCTTCCACCAATCCCAACTCTGCTACCCACACGCCGAGTACGCTGCTCTCCTCCAATCAGGAGCAGGTCCCACAGTTTATTGGTTGAACTGGAGGCAGCTGTGTAGAAGCTGTTTCCCTTCTCAGCGCCATATTGTGGGAAAGCAGATGCATAGAATAAGTCTTAATTCCAGTAACTTAGTCTAGTCCGAGTTGCTCCCAGTTGCTCCCCACACCCTGAAAACTTCAATGGCAGCATATCTGGGTGAGACTCTGAAAATGAAAGTTTTCAAAGCCGTTGTTAATTTAACATTTATTAGAAAGATGCTCTGAAATTGTGTAAGTGTATATAGGAATGTAGGATGTTAAGGCGTATTTCTGAAAAGCGTATCTCTTTCAGAAGGTTGAGTATACCTCACAGGCCACTATTTTTAAAACATTGAAAAATGCTTTTAAGCCATCTGAAATTCTAACTCTAGGCAAAGCTGAAATATAAAATTCTAACTAAAATAACTTAAAGAATATAGTGCTCCTTAGGGACTGAGACATTTAAAAATAAGTGAAAATGTACTTCAGTTATGAAGGGATTTATAAGGCAGCCTGTGAGAGACATTTCAAAGGGGTAAAATTTCAACCTAGTCTATTTTTTTTAGAAAAATATGAATTCTGGACTGACAGTGTCAAGAGAGAGAAAAAGACACAAAAGGATATGGGCCCAAAGATGCTCTTGATCCTTTGTGCTCTAGAATCCTTAAGTGAGGTGGATGCTTCTATCCCGGTTGAAAGAAAGAAAGATGATCCCAGAACGTGGCATTTATGCTGGCGGCTATGAAGTACTGATTTCTCTCTTGCCTTAGACGTGTTTTTACTTAATGAACTGATCATGCAAATGATTGCTAGAGATTATTGCTTATTAGTTTCGTGTCTTGATTTTTATGATTGTCCATATAATGCACTGCCCTTTTTCTGCTAAGCCATTGCACAGTGAGGTAGAACTCTACAGCTTGCTTTCTGTGTAATGTTGATGGAAACTATTTCAGACTTTTTGCAAATGGGAATGGAATAAATTCACGATTAATTTTAAAAATCTGTACTATGTATTATGTGCTCTCTTTTGAAATTGTCTCTGACGTGTTCTGAAAGAGCAAGCTAGTATAAAATACATAGGAGATAAACTGTAAAATGAAAGTTGTCAGAAAACAAAACAGGATGAGATTGTAATTGTTTAGGGAACTTAGGATACTAAAATTAACATTTTTATTTATGAATATAAAGTTATTTATCTATATATGCCAGATAACTTCTTTATGGTGAATTTTGTATACTAGTATATTTTCCTACTTATTATACTAGAAAAACCACAGTTTGGGACGATGATACTCTTGCCACTTTGATAATTCACTTTTCTGTCTGCACCTTCCAGCATTTTCTTTCGACCATCTCTCTGCTCACGAATCTAAGGCTCCCATCAAAAACCCAGTCTTCCCAGATCCACACTGCTGAGTGAAAAATGAGTTTTGTTTTGGAAAAGAGACTCCACAGTTTTTAGACAATTAATTAGGTTAGCCCCTGCCCCCTTAACTAAAGAATATGTTAGGGACTGGTGTGTGGCACAGTGGGTAAAAGCCAGTGCCTGGGGTGCTGGCGTCCCATATGGGCACTAGTATGTATTCAAGCTGCTCTGCTTCCGATCCAACTCCCTGCTAATGGCCAGGGAAAGCTGCAGAAGATGCCTAAGTGCTTGGGGCCCTCCCTGCACCCACGTGGGAGACCCAGAAGAAGCACCTGGCTCCTGGCTTCAGCCTGGCTCAGCTCCGGCTGTTGCAGCCATTTAGGGAGTGAACCAGCGGATGGAAGCTCGCTCACTCTGTCTCACCACCTCTCTCTGTAACTCTTTCAAGTAAACAAATAAATCTTCAAAAAAATAAAAAATAAAAAAAGAAGACGACGAAAGAAAGAAAACTGCCTTAAAAAAAAAAGTACGTTAGCCAGCTTAGCTGTGACAGTATTCAGTTCAGTGGTCAGATTAAGTAAGGAGCAAGAATTGTTAACATTGATTGTCAATTATATGCTAAACAGTAAGCTTAAAACATATACATACATTCTTATGCATAGTCATCGGATATATGGTTCGGATGTAATTATTAGTGTTGTCCTCAGCATGGGAAACAAAACCAAGAGGATACGTGAAAACACCTGGATCCTGTACCCTGTTGCAAATTATTTCAAAAGTAGCAGACCTTTTAAGAATTCTAATAGTGCACAAGTGAATCTTCTATTTTTCTCATAACATCTCTTTTTATGATACATGTGCAGAAATCGCTATTTGGTTGTTTTCCTCATCTCAGGAAGGGAAAAATGTAATTAACTTACATCTCCACCTGCTCTCCCTAATAAGAACACAACATTTCAACTGTCTGGGCTGGAAACCTGCAGAAAGCTTTCTTTTTCATCTTAGGTTCTTTTGGTTTTGCCTAAAACTTGGACAATAACAGGTAGTAAAGGAATCCTTTTCTTCTTTCTTCTAAACTGTGCAAACATTGCTTCCATTCTATGAATTTGAGAGTCAAAGCTCTTTCTTGGCTGACCCTGGCTGACAAACTAGGCTTTTACTGCTGAAGACAGTGTGGTACAATGGGAAGAATGCTGAATGTAAATAGGATGCTTATTTGCGCTCTTCCGGGTTCTGTTTTCTCTTTGGGGGTTGTCTGTGTCTGTTACTTGCATTGCTTGCTGCCTTTATACAATAACCAGACCTACACAATCCTACTGTGATGAGTATCCTTATAATGTGAATGGTCCAGTCACTTTCTGTGACTTTTAGTAATCTTGGCTTGCCTTTCTGTACAGGAGAGGACTTTGACCTAGGCACAGGAGACTGGGTACCTACCAAGTGTCCACTGCTCAGAGTTTGCTGTGCTGTGCTTGTGAGCAGCCCTGCTGGACAAAATACCTGTGTGTTTAACCATGGCTCAACATCACAGCCTTGGGTTCAGTTAGGAAGTTTCTGTAGCATCCTTCACTTCATTTAAAATTTTCCATTTCTCTACAGCTACTGCCACTTATTCCAAAGTATAAGGACTGTCCTGGGCAGTAAAGCATGCTCTTAGTAATTGTTCAAAACCTGGGGCGCTAGATACCACATCTGTCAGGAGTGAGAGCAAAGTGTGTTGCACTCTGTCGGTTGCCCCTTCCACATGTCTTCACTCCCTTTTTCATACCAGAACTCTCATTTTGTTCAGGAAACTTCTTTTCTCACAGTTCATGTGACTGAGATAGACCTCCATCCCCGCTTCCAGAGGTTAGTCTTGGATAATGGAACGCAGTCAGGGCAAGACATTTTTCTGGCAGCTATTACTGGTCTGGGACGGGTGCTAGATCTAAATGGGGCCTAATCAGGCTGATGAGAGGCTTGGTGCTTTCTTGAGAAAGAGATGTTCTACATGTCCTTCTCTAAGTAGGTGGTTCTAATTTAAAATTTTGAGAGTGTCTTATAATCACAAGGAAATTGAGCCTTACAATGAATTTGATGCTGTGGATGGCAAAAATTTTTGTTGCGTTCCTGAATCAAACCTAAATCCTAGCTTTTTCTTGGACTGCCGATTACTTCAGGAAAAAAAAAATCCTTGTAACACAAATCAAGATTTCTATTACTTGCAGCTGAAATTGTCTGCAGCTACCAGAAATGGGGAAAGGCATTCCAGAGAACAGAGCACATGCAGCACCTGAACAGAAACAGTCCAGTGCAGCAACAGGGACTCTGTACCTCTAGAAGAGTAATGAAGAACCATCCACGTCCCCTACATGCAGCTTTGTTTCTTTATGGGAGGTGGCTTGGAAAGATTTTAGTTTTATTTTTTTAAGTTACAGTTCAAATTAGTACATACTTGATAGCAGTATGAATGTGGAATAAAAGCTTTAATTTTTAAAAATGCTTTGTCTTCTGGGACTGGCTTTGTGGCAGAGTGGGTAAAGCCACTTCCCATGATGCCAGCATCCCATATGGCACCAGCTCATGTCTTGGCTGTTCCGCTTCTGATCCAACTGCCTGCTAATGGCCTGGGAAACCAGTGGAAGATAGTTCAAGTGCTTGTGCCCCTGTACCTACGTGGGAGACCTAGAAGAAGCTGCTGTCTCCTGGCTTTGGCCCGGCCCAGCCCTGGCCCATGTGGCTATCTGGGGAGTGAAGCAGTACATGGATGATCTCTCTGTCTCTCTCTCCTTCTCTATCTATGTAACTCTTTCAAATTAAATAAAAAACCTTAATGACAACAACAAAAAGACTTTGTTTTCTTTTTTTCTCTTCCCCAACCCAGCTTTCCTCTGGCATTGTACTAGGCCAGTTGTTTTATTATACTTTCTCCATTGGGATAGAAGTATATATCAGTATTTACCTTGCTTCTTGATATTTCCTATTTTAGAATAAGAATTATAAATGAATATAAATTATAAAATTAAAAATTATAAAATTTGACAGGACTATATCTAATGTCTACTGCATTCTTAGATATCATATTGTCAGCTATATCTTCTCCAGTTGGAAGAAAAAAGCTTTATCAATTTTTATTGTTCTAGTAGTTTCTGGGCTAGAAAAAACTATGGGAATACTTTGGAAATAGAGTAGTTTTGCTATATCAAAACAAATGCATACTGTTATTAATTTAAAGCATGTAGCCTTTTCAAAGATAACAGCTTTGTGCTGGAACATAAGTGATTGCCTTTATAAAAAATGACTTATTTATTTATGTATTTGAAAGTCAGAGTTACACAGAGAGAGAAGAGGAGGAGGCAGAGAGAGAGAGAGGTCTTCCATCTGGTGGTTAACTCTCCAATTGGCTGCAACGGCTGGAGCTGAGTAGATCCGAAGCCAGGAGCCTGGAGCTTCCTCCAGGTCTCCCACACAGGTGCAGGAGCCCAAGGACTTGGGCCATCTTCTACTGCTTTCAGGCCATAGCAGAGAGCTGAATCGGAAGTGGAGCAGCTGGGACTTGAACCAGCGCCCATATGGGATGCTGGCACTGCAGGCAGTGGCTTTACCCACTATGCTACAGTGCCGGCCCCAGTGATTGTCTTTTTAAAAAACTTTTTTTATTAATATAAAGAGAACAGATTTCATGCATTCCTCAGGTACAGGTCCAAGAAGACAACCACACTTTCCTCACTCCCATTCTCTCTCTCTCAACCCCCTCCCTCCCTCCCTCCCTTATCTTCATCAGTTTTGCAAAGACATCATTTTAATCTACTCTACATTCACAGGCTTAATTCACCATTAATCATAATATTCAACAGGTAAAAAGGAGACCACAGTTTCACAGAAGTATAAACAAGGATTAAAAATGGCAATCATGGGGCCAGCGCTGTGGCGCAGTTGGTTAACCCTCTGCCTGCAGTGCCGGCATCCCATGTGGGCCCTGGTTCTGGTCCTGGCAGTTCCTCCTCCAAGCTGGCTCTCTGCTGTGGGAAAGCGCTGGAGGGTGGCCCAACTGTTTGGGCCCCTGCACCTGAATGGGAGACCTGGAAGGAGCTCCTAGCTCCTGGCTTTGGATTGGCCCAGCCCGGCTGTTGCGGCCAATCAGGAAATCCACCAGCGGATGGAAGACTTCTCTGTCCCTATCACTGTAACTCTACCTCTCAAATAAATACATAAAATCTTTAAAAAAAAAAGTCATATCCCAAAATATCCATTTAATTCCTATACATATTAACTGCCACATAGCAGAGAAAAGATACAATATTTGTCTTTTAGAAACTGGCTTATTTCACTAAGCATACTGATTAAGAATTTCTTTTTTTTCCCCCAGAAACCTTTTATTTAAGGTATACAAACTTCATGCATTTCATATATACAACTTTAGGAACATAGTGATTCTTCCCACCTACACTTCCACCCTTCTTCCTCCTCCTCTCCTATTCCCATTCTTCTTTTTCACTAAGATCTATTTTCAATTAACTTTATACACATAAGATTATACTAAGTAAAGGGTTCAACAAGCAGTATGAAAAAAAAAAAAAAACTATTCCTCAACAGTTGAGACAAGGGCTATTCAAAGTCATTGCTTCTCAAAGTGACAATTTCACTTCTATAGT